GTATCGTTTTTTTTCGTTTTTTTTCGGATTCGTAATCTACATAACAAGAGGATCGTAAAAACGTAAAAATTACCTCCGATCTGTTGACGATTTGCACGGGCTTTGCGAACAAAAATCGAAAGGGTAGAGAGAGTTTTTTGAGTTTTTTACCTTTTGTTTTTTGAGAAATGGTAAAAAATGTGCCTGAATGTTTAATTTGTGCCTGCACAAATCAATCATTTCAGATATTTGAAATGTTAAATGCAAATATATGATATATTACATACTATTTTATTAATATTCCATCAATTTCAAATTTCATTTTACATAATAATAATGCAATTTTTCTTTTCAATTTTGCTCTCATCACCTAGTTAATCATTAAAAAAATACATAACAAGACGTATTTTAGCCAATTATGTGGATTTCTTCATACACATTTATTAGGGTAAATTCTACTTCACCCCTTGTACTTTGGCTGGATATCACTTTACACCATTGTACTCTCAATTGCATCGATTTGGCCCCATGTACTTTGGTTCGATCTCACTTTACCCCCTTCTACTCTCAATTCATCGATTTGCCCCCTTGTACTTTGGCTCGATATCACTTTACCCCCTTCTACTCTCAATTGCATCGATTTGCCCCCCTTACTAGAAAAATTGCCTCAATGTGGCCATCGCCGTTAGTTTCAGACATTTGACCTTAACACCGTTTGATTAACACCGTTACTAAAATTTCATCCTTCTAGTTTAAATAATTATTAAAAAAATTAAAAAAAATAAAAAATAAAAAAACAACAAAAAATAAAATAATAAAAAATTCAAGACATCGAGAAAAATAGTCCACGACGCCAGGCACAATTTTTTTTTTAATTAATAATTATTTAAACCGGGAGGGATGAATTTTTTGTAATTTCCAAACTTAGATCAGACGGTGTTAAGGTCAAAGGTCTGAAAACTAACGGCGAGGGCCACATTGAGATAATTTTTCAAGTACATTGGGACAAATCAATGCAATTGAGAGTAGAAGGGGTAAAGTGATATCGAGCCAAAGTAGAAGGGGGCAAATCGATGAATTGAGAGTAGAAGGGGGTAAAGTGAGATCGAACCAAAGTACAAGGGTCAAATCGATGCAATTGAGAGTACAAGGGGGTAAAGTGGAATTTACCCTATTTATTATTATTTATTAATACTTGTACCGAAGGCTTAAATGAATATTACCATAAATAGTAAAATATAGTTAAAGCATAATTCTACTATAACTTAAATTTTAAAAAACGGTCCAATTTGAGAAATGAAAATTGGATTTTTTGCTTTAAAATTTAGTACCATTTCAAAATTTACCAAAGTAGAAAAATATATATTTTTCAAAGCCTTAAATAAGATCGAATCTAAATAAAATGATATGATAATTTCTTTGCAATTCATCGTTTGCTCAAAATAAAATATAACTTGGTTTGCATAAGGTATAAGTTATAACATATGAAATTTAATCAATGTATTCATTATACATGGTTTGGATGAATGTCTATTCCGGCAACAATGTATCGAAATAGTTTGGATTAGATGGTATTGTATTACTTTTCAGTATGTTCGATTCCTCTTATCAAATCTATACATTAAGGTCTCGTTTGGTTGTCAAGATAAGATTAATTAAGATAAAATTAAATAATTTAATGAAACTCAATTGTATTATTGGCCTTCGGAAGATTCAATTAAAAACATACCTAAAAGGCGAGATAAAATATGATAACCTAATATTTGCGGGTCACCCATCGAGTTATTGGGATATTAAACATCAAACAAGTTCCATTATTTAGTTAATCATGACTAATCTCTCAACCAAACTAAAATACGATATTCCCTCCGTTCCAATTTAACTGTCGGTTTGGGGAGTTTTTCTTGTTCCATATTATCGGTCACTTTAAAATTCCAATGCTGCATTAATTAATGTTTTCTTGAACTGTGCCCTTATTAGTTATTACTCTTGATTAGTTGAGATATAATTAATTACATGAGTATTTTAGTCATATTATATGTATTTTCCTAAAATCCTCGCATATTTATTAATTTTCTTAATATGCGAACAACAACCTAAAACGACGATTATTTTGGAACGGACAAAGTATTTAATAATATTAAATGTGATTCCCAATAGCATCTCTAAATTGGAGCAGCATTAAAAAAAGGCAATATATGAAAATGTGAAATTAAATGTAATGGAATTATAATTAATTAATTAATTAATTAATTAAAAACGGAAAACAAAAGATGCATCTAATAATGCAAGCAACAGTGGTAGTCGTAACAAACAAAGCGAGGGAGAGAAAATGGGAACGAGAGAGATGGATAGAGATCTCGAACGCTTAATACCCTTATCGATCACCGACAATGCTAATTGCTCCAAATCCTCTTCTCCTTCTGATTCCCCCGCCGCCACCGCCGCCGCCCCCGCCGGCAACGAGGTCTATCTTTCCTCCCCCGCCCATAAAACACGCATACATTTGTGTAAAACTCATGTTTCGATTAATTAATTATCACCTTAGGATCTCAGTGTGAACTGCATGCATTGTATGATTTAATTTTTTTTATTCATCCTTCTACTTTTCATGAAATTAACCTCTGTTTTTACTCTTTCATTTTCACTCTCTGCGTGCGTGTGTGTGTGTGTGTGTGTGTGTGTGTGAATTCAAATTCAGTGCTCAATTGATTCGGCGAAGCATTACTTCAATTTTCCTTTTTAAAATTCATTTTTAGTGTTTATGATCACCTTAATTGCTTTGTTTAATTAGTGTCTAATACTTGTTCAAAAGATTAAAAGGGGGATAATTTATATTTATATATGTTGTAATTTTTTTTTAACCTTTTAATTTGCAGGCATTGGGCAAAGTGATTCGTAGTTGGGCATGGAAGAAGTTTATGACCGGATGGTTAGTTCAATGATTTACCAACTAGTATTATGTTACGTTAATCAATATATTGCTCGAAACAAAAACGAAAAAACGAATATTTGCTGAAAACTTTTACTACAATGTGCTAATCTGTTTTTCACACTCATTAAACTTACTCGAATTTGCTTCTGTGAACTTCAACAAGAAGCAATGAAGCAAAAACTATAGCGAATATTAACTTCCTTAACTCGATTATGAGTGAGTCTTGTAATCACCATCTTATTGGCGGTCGTATTTGTTCGTATTATCTCTTGGGGCATCTTTATTTGAGGATTTAGAGTTCATTCTTGAAATTGCATTCCCTTTATTTATTTTTCTCAATACCATTTGACACGATGACTCGATATTATTAATTTGCAGTGTGATCTTACTTCCTCTTGCCATCACATTCTATATAACTTGGTGGTTCATTCATTTGGTTGATGGTTTCTTCTCACCAATCTACATTCATCTCGGGATGAATATATTCGGTACGCGGATTATTTCTTTTCTTCTCTCTCATTGTTTGCATTCCTATGTATATGTGTGAGGAACAAGGTAATCTCGTTGTCGGTTAGTGGTTTTAATTCACTTAAAAGTATGAAGTACAAATTGACCTATTCCTCTAGTTTTAATTAACCATTAACAGGTCTCGGATTCTTAACCTCGATTACTTTCATATTCCTCGTGGGAGTGTTTATGTCGTCGTGGGTTGGTGCCTCGCTTCTTGCATTGGGAGAATGGTTCATTAAAAAGATGCCCTTAATGAGCTATATATATGCTGCCTCGAAACAAATTAGTGCCGCAATTTCTCCAGGTAGAAAAATCGAGATATCTATTTTACCATAAATCGAAAAAAAATAAAAAAAAATTGCTGAAGTCAAATATGACTAGTTTCAGATCAGACTTCTCAAGCTTTCAAGGAAGTGGCCATAGTAAGGCATCCTCGTATCGGAGAGTATGCGATTGGTTTTATTACATCGACTATTATCCTACGTAAAACTTCGGGCGCAGAGGAGCTTTGCTGTGTTTATGTGCCGACCAATCATCTTTATCTTGGAGACATATTCCTTATTAACTCCAAAGATATTATGAGGCCTAATCTTTCTGTTAGAGAGGGCATAGGTAAAAATTAAAAAATAAAATAAAATAAAATAATCGAACTATGGCACTTCAATATATTGTGTGATAGTAAAAGACAAAATCGAACTATGTCCGTTGATAGTGATTTTTATTTTGAATTTTTTTTTTACAGAGATAGTGATATCTGGAGGAATGTCGATACCGAAGGTTTTGACGATTGTGGATACGCAATTTATACTGTCACCGAGAGTTGGCAAACTAACAGTTCCACAAGTTTAACAGGTACTTGGAAGATGCAAATTAATATAGACTTGGTCGGAATTTAATTATACTGATATCAGAGAGATAAAACTTCGTTTCCACGCCTATTTTCGTTGGTTTTATCTTACTTTTTTTTAACTGTTCATAAGTTTCTCGTGAACAAGTTGTAAAACTCAGAACTAGTTGACACTTCATATAATTAAAACAGCAATATATACGATGAACATCAAACGAGACCAAGGCTTCGTACACCTTTTTTCTTGTTAAGACTGTATGGTTTTTTTCTCAATTGTTTCGCTTGAAAGTACTCGTACTGACCGTATGTAAGTGCATCATCACTTAGCTTAGGATTACACCAGAAACAAATGATCCCTCCATCAGTGGCGGAGTAGCATAGGGTCGGGGAGCCATGACCCCTCCCCCGAACATTTCTTAAATCTTTATTAATTTATATAGAAATATAATTTTGTTGTGTACAATAGCATTAACGGCCCCCTCAAATTTTTGTTTTAATGCATTCGGACCCTCGAACTTAAAATGCTGGCTCTGCTAGTGCCCACCGTGTGTGTTTTATTAGTAGGGTATGGTATGTTCAGTTTGACAACTCAAAAGGATAAGGAGAAATCGGATTGAATTAAAGAGAAGAAAAGTAGTAAACAAAAATCAAATGGAAAGTTAAAAACGAACAAAAAAGATGTTTTTTTTTTTACTTCAATGTCGATATTAATGTGGAATGCGAGGCGTTGGTTACCGCACGGTTTATATAATTTTTGTTCAACGTGATCCCGATATATTATTCAAAAACTTATACAATTTTCCAACATATAAAGTTACACCATCAAAACCATCATTCTCAATATAAGAAATCACCTTAAATCCATGAAAATTTGATTTAACCAAATGTGAAACAAAGCTAGTGTAATACCTCGAGAATCGTCAATAAACTGCTTCAATACATCAATACAAACACCCCCCAAAGATAACCTTAAAGAAGTACAATTCATGTACAAAAATGTTATCTTAACCATTTCATTTTTTAACTTTTAGATTAAATTGGCTTGCATGATTTCAATTTTAAGGTCCATTTTCATGTGAACAATCAAATCTATATAATTAACTTAGTAACAAACTAACATCAATCCGATGTCGTCCAGCGGTTAGGATATCTGGCTTTCACCCAGGGGACCCGGGTTCGATTCCCGGCATCGGAATCTTTTTAATATTTTATTTTGATTTTTTTGTTTTTCCGTTTCTATTATTTTGGCTCGTAATTTCTTTTGACTTTGACCATTTATCTGGCGCATTAGAAGGATGCCTAATGATTCACTAATTTTACCGCTATTGCTTAACATCTAATGACAATTAATAATGATTAAAATTTAAAAGACAAATTAAATCAAGAAAAAGCCAAATCCAATTTAGTAGAGAACTAACTAAATCAAGAGTCCAAAAACCACAAGCACCAGCCCCTCTACGCCACGACAACTAATAAATAGTATAATCACAAATTTATACTTTCCCCATTGTCCTCAACAAACCATCCAATCTTCTCATCTCCTATATAAACAAACTCCCCATCTCCACAACTTACTCAATATAACCCAACAAATCATTCACTAATAGCAAAAATGGCATCATCGCCTAAGCCAACCTCTCTCATCACATTCTTCTTCATCTCCATAATTTCAATCTTAGTTTCACACTCGAATGCCGGAAAGATCTCAATCTACTGGGGCCAAAACGGAGGCGAGGGCACATTGGCCGATACATGTGCCACCGGAAACTATAACTTTGTGAACATAGCCTTCCTTCCGACATTCGGCAACGGCCAAACTCCGATGATCAATCTTGCTGGCCATTGCGATCCTTACACTAACGGGTGCACCAACTTGAGCTCTGATATCAAATCTTGTCAGGCCAAAGGTATCAAAGTCATGCTTTCCATCGGAGGTGGGGCCGGAAGCTACTACCTCGCCTCTTCTCAGGATGCCAGACAGGTAATCAATAACACACGAATCTACTAGATATTGCAAGTGTGTACATGCATTTGACTAGAGGTGGAAATAGGATGAATTGGATCGAAATTAGCACTTTCGAAGAAAAAAATGGAATATTTGAAAATTAAAATTGGATTGAAAATCGGAAACGAATATATATTCCAAAGGAAATTCGGAAAAATCTGAAGTTCCGTAATTCGAAGTGAGAAATATTGTTCCAAAATCAGAAATATTCAGATTGAAATCAGATGAATTCAAAATTTCCATTCCAATTTCCACCCTAGGACTTGTACATTCTTAATTTTAATTTGAAACACTTGAATAAAATTTTGGATTCGCCGTTGCAGGTAGCAACCTATCTTTGGAACAATTTCTTGGGTGGAAAATCGTCATCTCGTCCACTAGGCGACGCTATATTGGACGGAATCGACTTTGATATAGAGGGAGGAACCAATCTCTATTGGGATGATTTGGCACGATATCTTTCCAATTACGGAAAGGTTAACGGCAAGAAAGTGTACTTGAGTGCGGCCCCACAATGCCCTTTTCCCGATTACTACATCGGAAACGCCCTCCAAACCGGGATTTTCGACTACGTGTGGGTGCAATTCTACAACAACGCTCCATGCCAATATTCCTCCGGGATGGAAAGTTTTGAGAATGCATGGAATGATTGGAATTCAATTCCGGCGGGAAAGATATTCCTGGGATTGCCGGCTTCTGCTCAAGCCGCTGGTACTGGATTTGTTCCGGCGAGTGATCTTATTTCACAAGTGCTTCCGGTTATAAAGGGTTCCGACAAGTATGGAGGAGTTATGCTGTGGGATAGGTACCATGACAATGGCTACAGTTCTTCCATCAACAAAGATGTTTGATATGTGCTCTCATATTCGAAAATCAACTTATGATTCTGGAATTTTCATCGCATGATATGATTATGTATCTGTGGATTAATACTTATTGGCATGTACAATTTCTGTAATCTGTATGTATATAAGTATTTATATATACATTATGTGTGTTTATTGCAATAGACTCATGTATCAACTATTTTAAGAAAGGACTGATTTTTCTCCACACCACTAGCACTAATACTTGATGATTTTACCATTTTTTAGCTATCAGCTAAATACATACGAAGAAAGCGACGTGCAAATAGAAGAGACGGAAAATTGGAGGACAACAATAATACGAAATACAAGAAAATCGGGCTACGTAAAGACAAAAGGCAGTAGAGAGATTGATAAGGAACGTCAAATTGGATTCGTGTTGCAAAATAACTATTTAATTCGGAGAAGAGTTATTAATGGGCATTGGTGGAAATATCGAAAGAAATTATGGGAAAATAAGGGTTTTCGACGAACTTAAATCCTAGTTGAGTATGAAACGAACTCTATCTCAAGTAAAACGGCGTAAGGAACAAAACTCATGAGCAAAGCTCATGAATCACGTCAAATTTCAGCAATCCAAGGTCGTTTAGACTCCTAAAAGTTCGTTTTTGCTATTTTAGGTAAGTTTTAGAAAATTAATATCAAATCATAGAAAAATCGGATTAGGATTCCGTAAATTGGGTTGTTCCCAAAATTACGAGATCTACTAGAATCAGACTCTAACTCTTTTTTGCCGTTTTTGGTAATTTTTAGTATTTTCTTATTTTAATTAGGGTTTTCAGTTTTTTAGTATAAATAGATGCCTTAGGACTTTATTTTAGAAGATTTTTCGAATTTTAATAAAATATTTAGAGTAAACTCATGAGCAAAGCTCATGAATCACGTCAAATTTCAGCAATCCAAGGTCGTTTAGACTCCTAAAAGTTCGTTTTTGCTATTTTAGGTAAGTTTTAGAAAATTAATATCAAATCATAGAAAAATCGGATTAGGATTCCGTAAATTGGGTTGGGATTGCTATTTTAGGTAAGTTTTAGAAAATTAATATCAAATCATAGAAAAATCGGATTAGGATTCCGTAAATTGGGTTGTTCCCAAAATTACGAGATCTACTAGAATCAGACTCTAACTCTTTTTTGCCGTTTTTGGTAATTTTTAGTATTTTCTTATTTTAATTAGGGTTTTCAGTTTTTTAGTATAAATAGATGCCTTAGGACTTTATTTTAGAAGATTTTTCGAATTTTAATAAAATATTTAGAGTTTTCTCTATTTTCTGGTGGATTCCAGAGTTTTCGGTGGATTCCGAATGTTATTTTGTTCTATAGGATTAATTCGTAGAAATTAATTCCTTTACCGTGCTTCCGTTCTGCGTCAGAGATAGAAATACACTGCACAAACCACAGCAAGAGATAATGAAATCCAAAAAAACAAACTAAAGTTAAAAATGAGTTTATCCAGGAAATCCAGTAGTAAATATACCAAACATAACCACTTCAAAAAAAAAAAAAAAAAAAAAAACGTCTCAGAATTCCAATCCAACTTACCCGGAAAGTAGAATTAACTGTCTAGGGGAAATCAAAATGACAGCAAACGAGCAGACAACATCATATTCAATACTCGGCCTCACGAGAAACTGACCTGTCTGAGCGGCGGTAAGCCCTGTCACGTGGCTCAGACACACCTCTCTCGTAACCATAACCATCATCATCTTCCATTTGACCGTACCTGTCAGATTCTCTGTACCTATCGTTATTATCACCCTCACCATCCGCATCATCATATTTATCCCTACCTCGGTTCCCATAGTAGTCATCATAGTGACCGCCGGCACGCTCCGCCGGCTGATCAAGCCACCCACGGTGGCTATTATCCTCTGCATCTGCGCCCCTATCGTAGTTCCTATCCCTTTCAGTCGAACGACCACGATCGTCCACAACTTCGTAATCTCTATCTCTCTCCCTCTCTCTCTCCTTGTCGTGATGACGGTCTCGGCCTCTGTCTCTGCCCCTCTCGCGGTCACGGGGTCGGTCCCTCTCGCGGTCCCGCTCCCCCGTGCGGTCCCTACCGCGGTCCCTCTCGCGGGAACCCCTCTCTTTGGTTCTGTCACGATCTCTGTGGTCACGATCCCTTGACCTATCGTGTGATAGCTCACGAGATCTTTCGCGTTCTCTATCTCTATCCTTTCCTCTGTCACGAGATTTCTCTCTCTCCCTGAAACTTTTTACAGTCAGTCACCGTTTTTTTCTTCCCAAAAATAGACCTATGTTTTGTTTGGGAAGTAGGATTGGACTTGAAAAACAATAATCAAGGTTTTCAAATGTTTGGGGTTCAGATTTCAAGATAAAGCTCGGGTTGTCATCAAGCATACAAAGGATGTTATCAAAACCCAAATATAAGATAATCATATATTACACTATCATGGACAACGTCATCCTAAGTTCGTCATCGTTTCAATTGATCTTATCAATGCCATCAACATTCCCAAACGAAGACCTAAATGACAGGATAAGCCCAATCAGTTCTATTCTAAGGCAAATGATACGAACGAAACAATAATTAGGATTTCCCAGAAACAATGGAGCAATTTACACAGTAGACTTCTAAGTCTCCTAATATGTAAGAGTCCCCGAAAAAATGAAAGACACAACTTCCCCTAAATATATACTGTTCCATACAATTTTTACAATAACTTGTCAGAAGCAATTAGTATAGCAAAAGATATGATTAATGATTCACATATATGGTATAGGTGTTGTAGCAAATGTTTACCTGTCTCTTTCGACTTTAGGCTCCTCCGATCGAGATATTCCTCCAGATTGAACTGGCTCTCTGTAAAATGAAAAGGAATCTATGTTACATTTTATAGAGTGAAATGAGCAACACTATCCCAACAAATGAGTATAAAATAACAATATACACAAGGATATAACACAACAGACAGCTGCTAGTATAATCTACAAGTTCAACCACAACTAGTATCCTCCATTATAAATAGAAGCCAAGCAATCAATCTGCCCGTCAGATCAGATTCCTCACTCAATCCAATTCTCAACCACTTCTACTTTATCATCTATCCGTTACATGTGTCACGTGGCGCTTCAACATCAACTAAATTGTCAACTACACTTTCACAAGTACATATTGACCTAATTTTACAAACAAGGGGTCTATCTAAGACATTCATAAAACTACTGCGTCCATTTCTTTCAGAACACCTTAGTATACATCTACAATCATCAGGTAGCATCAACTGAAGAATTTTCTGCTACTGGTTATTGTTGAAAATAAATGAATCTCCAAGTAATTGCTTGAGCAAGTATTGACTATATTCTAAAAAACCACTAGCATTACCTCCCTACGTTCCTCTGGTTAACTTCTTCATTGCCAACACGAGTTGTTCCAAGTCCGCCACCAAGCCTACGAGGACGCCAGTTTGGAACAGTTCTACCACGCTCGACATCCACGAGCACTCTCCTGTTATCAATCTTCTTTCCATCTGCTTGTTTATAAGCAGCTGCATAACATATAGACACCAATTATACGAAGTGTCAAATAAAGGATATGCACGAATAGAATGAAGAGGAGAAGATCAGTGGACGCAAGTAAACCTTTCATATCTCGAGTATGCACGAATTCAATAAAGGCATAGCCTCTAGGCTTGCTTGACTCCGTATCTGTAACCAAGCGAACCTGAAACTCACAAGGATATGATAAATAGGTTATAGTTACATAATCAAAATGTTTATACATCACAAGAGAAAAATTTCCAATCACAACTTGATTTCGTACTATTTACTGTACAATATAAGCCTAAGGGCACGGCAGACAGGCACACTATGCCTAATTAGCCGTGCTCACCTTTCAGTCATAGATCTTCCAGGCCAGATGCATCACCATCATTGCTAGGATTGCTATAAAACGGCGGCCAATTTACCAGTTGACAAGTACACTAACCTCCCCTTACCAGGGAATTTTTATTTTTTTAAAAATAATAATAAGAATGACTATAAGTAATATTCAATACCGGGATATCTTCAGAATCGTTGGAGCATTTTCGACAGCCTTTAAATCCAAAAGTACGATTTAGTAGCAGGAAGACACTATTTACTAGAAAGTAAAAAAAGGAAGAGAGAGATGCTACTACTCCCAATGCATTATACCCAGTGCAGAAGAAATTGCCTCTCCAGGTTGCTTGGAATAAAATCCAGAAGGTACATAGCACCATCGCTCTTCACAAAATAATATTTTTCACCTTTGCTTTGGATTAAGCATCACTTTTGATATTGAATACTTCCACGTGTAAAATAAGAGCAAACAAGGAAAAGTGTTTCCCCTATTAGAGGGTTGATACTTACACTGAAGAACTCTATGAGCCAAGAGATGCCTAATACCTGGAACTTCTTCCTAGACTAAAGAGAACTTTAAGCCCAAAAGACCAGAAGGGCAACCAAAGGATTAACAAAATAACCTATCTGTTATCACCCATCATAATCAAGAAATCAAGAATATTTTAAACTTGTCACATGACCAGCAAGTTGCTAGCAGAGTTGATGTAATTTTTCAAACATATTGGACAAAGAGACACATGAAACATAATAATTGAAACGATAGACACTAATAACCTATATTATTGTCGATGAAATGAAAGTAAAATTGTGACAATTATGTTCATTTAGAAGCAAACTAGAAGGATACCACATGTACCAAATTGTTTGAAAACCAAAACTAACAAAATAAACCAGAATTAGCTTCATTTGAATTAGTTATCCATACCACTTTTTTTAGAAATTTCGATTTTCGAATATTGATTAAGTTGAAGTAGATTTTTGACATGTTAAATTTCTTACCAACCCAAAATCCAACGTAAATTTTCTTACCAAACCCCACACTTGGGGGTTTTCCATAATACCTACCCGCTTGATAGGCCCGTAAGCCTCAAACTCCCTTTTGATTCTGCTCTCTGTTGTCTCGTAATTCTGAAATAGAAAAAAAAAAACATCAAAAAAGTGAACCAGGAATATATCATAATGCACTAGAAACTGATTATCAATAAAAAGGACTACTAACCAGCCTAGCCACAAACAATGTTTTGTAAGGATCTCCAGAAATATTCGGATCATTACTTGGATCATCTGCATAGAAAATCACATATAAGATTTCTTTCATTTTCATAAAGAGGGCAACGATAGATATTAAAATGAAAGAAAACTATAATCACATTTCTCAAGCTCCTCTGCTGCCTTTTTGGCTCCCTCCTCCAGACGTAGTTGGTGAATCCGAGCTTTTCTTTCTGCCTGTATATATATAATATAAACATAATAAAAATATATAAGCTAAATATCAAATCAATAGTTTTCAAACAGAAGAAAATAAACTTCTATACATGGACTATCAAATGGCGAAAGAACTACGAAGTTCCTAATAAACAAAATGCTGCAGAAAAATATTAGGAGATAGACAAAAGACTTACCGGCGTCTCACCCTTCTGAACAGGAACAGCATATTGAGGATCACCAGGTTCAGCAAAACTACTAATAAATTGAGCCATACCTGAAAAAGGAAATAATACCATGTAAATTCATAGTTATTACAGACCAAACCCCACCACATTATAATACTTGAACACAACAATAGAACCCAAAAAACCTGTATATGGCGGGCATTTCCTCTTCTCGGGAGGTGGCTTGTACTCCAATGGCGGACGGGGCTCGAACAATTTAAGAAGGTTTGTGGTTAAACCAGTTGGATGACTCTGACCTATCTGCAAGATCAGTAAAAATAAAACATTAACGAAACAAGAAAGATGCCCGACTGAAAGATTACGAGTATGATGCAGTCCACATCACCCAATTACGTCAATGTAAAGTAAATGCGAATATCGTGAAATCGACATAATGAGATTCTGTTAACCCCTTCACACTCCCCCACAGCCTGAATTGATAAATTTCACACAAACCCCCAAAAAAACATGTTCTCGGACTAAACATATGAAAAACCCTAGAATTCTAAACTGGTAGAAGAAAGAACAGGAAAATATAATGTTGCACGGATTTACAACCACCAAAGTTACGAGAAAATACAGCAAATCAAATCTAATCAAAGAAACCCTAGAATTCTAGACTGGTAGAAGAAAGAACAGATTCAGCATACGAGGGTTTACCAATTTGAGTTGCATGACATTGGCGCGGTTCTGAGCCTTAGCACGGGCCTGAACGGCGGCGTTTTGGTCGCGCATCATGGCGTCGCCATAGTCGCCCATCTTTACCGAGAAGTTCCGGTGGAATCCCTAGGGTTTCCAAAGATAGGAATCGACGGAGCAAATTCAGGCGTAGAGCGATGACGATTGGGGTTGTTCGAGCCGGTCAATTAGAAGCGGCGAGCAGAGAGGAGAAATCGGAATTACTGAATTAGGGTGATGGCTCAAGGGTTTTTCGAGCCTAATTATTTATACCTGGTTCGCCTTTATTAATTGGGATTATTTGAAAAGGGACACGATGAATATACTATCCTTATTTTAGAATGTATTTTTAGTAGTTATAGACATTTTAATATAAAAATTAATTCTCATCAAATATTTATTACTAACCGTCTATAAAACTATATTTATTATCCATAATTTTCAGTCTCAACACATCTGAAGAAACTCTTTAAATTCGTTTATACGACAAAATATTTTGTTCGATAGAAAATATTTACTATAACCAACTTCTTTAAACGTCTCGAGATGACTCTGGTCCAAAGTAGTAACAAAATTAATATATATTATAAAATATGGCACATAAAATAGAAAATGGGAAATTTGGCACATAAAACATGAAAAAAGATCGATTTCGCACCGAAATGAATTTGTTTACCTCATTTTCAGCCTTATCATCCTCCAAAACCAATAAATTCATGTTCTTGGTGATTAATGATGATTAATTGTGTGATATTTTCCCAAAATAATGTTAATGGAGACTTATAAAAAAGAGTTTGAAAGAATATGAATATATATATTAGGTTTTGAATTTTTTTTTTTTAAATGTCATACATTTACTAAAACACGTTCTTTATTTATCACCACCCCTTGACAAAACCCCTCATGAGGTCCAAATTTTTGTTTCCATAAATTCAAAGTATCTTTTAATTAACATAAATAATTTAATTCGCTATTATACAAGATTTATTTCCATGTTTATTTGGAAATTATTTAGAGTCTTATGTTTGTAATATTCTTATTAGGACTTTGATTTATTTCCATGTATCTTATTCCAATTAAGTATCTTTGTACTTATCTAGAATAGAGTTAGAAATTGGCTAAGATTCTACTTACCTAGTTAGAATCATGTAAGGGTTTGGGAGGCTAAATTCGTGCGAATATAAAGTCTCACAAGTCATTGAAGATCTCAGCTCTTTTCTTGGAGAAAAAACTCTCGTCGTATTGAAGTCGTGCTAGAGCAGACTGTAAAGCAGTATTGTGCCCTCATTGATGTGTGCCAACATATACCGAGTAGCATAGATCTCGGGAGAGGTCATCCACGTTTCTGAAGAGAGGTCATCCACGTTTCTGAAGAGAGTTCATGCTTGAAGAAGGTTCAACGCACGCGGAGTGGAGCTGCTGTAGAGAGACACGATATTAGAGTAGTGTACAAGAACGGCGTAAAAATTAAAGATGGAGTCTTTATTATTTTTAACAAGTCCTATTAATGTACATTTTAAACCTGAACTAGTGAAATCGTGTTTACAGGTCCACGCGGATATAGGGCACATTTGTGGCTGAACCACATTAATTTCTTGTGTTCATTTATTTTTGCTTTCAATAGTTTATAACTGTGTTAACACAAGAATTATAGTTGTAACTGAATAGTGTTCTCACAACTTAATTGTTACAACTTAGGTTAATTGATTTTTATAGGCATATAAATCAACACTACCCATTCACCTAATCCTATACAATCACGTTCTCAATTTTTTTTCCTACAAATTTCTCCCCTCCCTCATCTTTTAACAGGTAGCCGTCCGGCCCTCTCTTCCTCTACATTATCGAATTTTTTTCCCAAATCTTGATTCCATTGCCTGATGATGAGACCTCCCACTCTATCGCCTTTCCTATCTTCATTGTTCTGATGGACCGCATCTGTCAGCCTCCTCGTCATCCACCGCGTCAGCCCCGCGACTCCTTCATCCTCTAGCGCGGTGATCTCCACTTTCCCAGTCGGCGGAGAAAGAGGCGGCGATGTTTTGCGGTGGGTTGACGAGATATATGGGTAATATGAAAAAATTGAAAATTTTGATTCTTTCTTGTTCATTTTTTTAATAGTTTTTTTTTAGCCTTTCAACTTTTAATTGAATATTTTTTTTTTCTTCAATAATTGGGAATGTCCATATGAAACTTAGAATTATATTCTTCAATTCTGAGTATAATTCATTTTCGTCCATTCGTACAGAAGGCTCAGGCTGCTTGTGCACTATGAATACATCGACAACTTTTCGTTGAACTTGGGATTAATTTTGAAAAAGTAAAACATAAATCTTATATGTTTGTTACTGTTGTTCTCTTGTATTGTATAGTGGACTTGGTTAAATTCACAGTGGATTTTCGATAGATTTATAGTGGATTTCAATAAGAATACAGAGTGGTTTTCGATAAATTTATAATGAATTTCGATAAGTATATAGAGTGATTTTTATGTTTATATAACAATTTATATAGAGTGGTTTTCATGTTTATACAGAGTGGTTTTCATTGTTGTCCCCTCATTCATTTTTTGTTTCAACAGATTTATGCAATATTAGTAGGTTGGAATGAAAGCTTCCCGAATTTTTGTTCCCACCAACGATGGTGTAACACCAATGTTTGATTTTGGAAATTGGTTTTCATTAGCTAATTATTTTTTTTCTTATGCAGATTGATTTAGTGATCCTCACCGGCCTTATTGGTGGTGGTGTACTGGTCCTGCACTTTTTCGTGAATATAGTAGTCGTTTACGTTTCAAATAGTGGATTTTCGAATATTGAACTTACGTTTTTTTTTTTTTTTTTTGTTATTTTTTCAGTTGTGTTAGTAGTGGATTACGTATGTTTTTAATGGATTTCGATAAGTTTGTTGTGGATTATATTAATACTAAAAAGGATTACGTTAATTTTACGGTGAATTTTACAGTGGTTTTCGAAAAAATTGTAGTAGTTTCCGATGAGTATATAGTTAATTTTAATTTCCGTAACCCTGATGAAAAAGATTAAAAAAAAACTGAAAAAAATTGGGCATTAAAAACCATATTTTTAAAACTTGGTGGAAAAAATAAAAAACTAAATAAGAAAAACTAAAATAAAATAAATGTAATATTTTGTTTTAAAATTGAAATAAAAAAATCCTCGGAAAAAAAAAAAGAAAAAAACCTGAAATAACGTGAGATTTGTGAGGAGTTATTTTGAAGAGAGAGTAGAACAGGCACATTTAGGGTAATTTGAATCAAATGGACTTAGAATAAAATCAAAATTCAATGGGGATGTTTGTGAAATAATCGCTAATTAATCTGCATTCTTTCTGAAAATTAATATATTTAAGTGGGCGTTTATGTATTAAATTATTAATCAGCATCTAACACTCTTCAAAAATACAATTTGTACCCTGGATTATAGCATGTGTAACATTTACATCCCTCAAAATATATTTCTATAACACTTACCCACTTATAGCTTCGTTTGTGGCACGTGTAACACTTTCATCACTTAATGTCGAATATCTTACATGGGTTGTTATGTTACATTCGGCGAATTTCATCTGGTAAGATATCGTTTTTTTTTTATTGGTAATCCGGTAAGATATCACCAATATTGCTATGCTCGCGAATTTTATAGAATCGTATTTTTTCAACGCATCCGTACCTATTCTACACGACTTCCATGATCCATATATATTTATGTGTATTTGTTAGTAAATCAAATGTAAAAACTACCAGTAAAATTTACCAACTACACTGAAACATCTATGAGTTAATCAATATTGTGCTTCATGGTTATTTTACGAGAGGTAAAAATAATTCGAACTCGGGTCAATCGACCCTCTTACTCTAAATAAATCAAGACACGAATTCATTTCTTTCAAAATTATACGCAACATCTCCAATTTTGTACTACCAAATAACTCCACAAAATTAAACTACACAAAAATAAAATTAAACCAAATCCAAATTCACCTAAAATTATCCGTCCTTCCCGAAATGTTGCGGCTACGAGTATAAAATAAATCATGACAAAAATAATTATATTAGTATTTATTATTATATCTCATCAAGATAGATTGATATCAAATATTGTGATCATGTAAATTTGCTTATCGTTTTTGGTTGTGAGGGCTATTTCTTGTGTCCTCTGTCGAGTCACCGCTCGATACGGATGGATTGAGCCCGTATTCGCTAGTTGTGGCCCCATACTCGGTGCTATTGACTTCCTGAGTTGACATCACCATCTGTCTGAACTTCATTAGGTCGGCGTTATATGCACCCGTGTCGTAAATGTCTCGGTTCGTGTTCGCGGGGTTGTAGGCTTGGCTTTGGCCTGGCTTCACCCCTTCGTTCAAGTCCTCTAGTGACGAATCTCCGTCCAAAGCTCGTACAATCTGAACAAACATATCACACGTTACATTGGACATTTACGTCCTTATTATTTAAGTCTCAATCCAGATTTTAAGGGCATTTAAGAAAATTTACTATGATAATCTACAACTTAAAGGTTTATTTTGCAAACATATCAACTTATAAATACTTGCTTAAATTTTAATTTTTAGGTGGTGTTTGCTGCTAAAGGTTATTCAAAAGTAGAAGTTTGTAATTGCGAGATAAGTTGACATTGAGTGCTTATTTTTAAAGTTGAGGGCGTTTACAAATATGCAATTTAAATAGAAAAGACAAAACATATCTAGGGCTGCTTTTAGAGAAATAGCTTAAATCAACTTATTTTTTAAGAAAAACAAAAGCAAAAACTGATTTTGCAAACATCTAAAAATAGATTATGAGCGAAAAAAAAGCTCATAATCTATTTCTAAAAGTTTTTGCAAGTACCACCTTAATGACTTATCTTGCAAACTCTCCAAATTTTAGAAATAAACAATTACTTTTAATTTTACTCAAAATCACCAACTTCTACTTTTAATCGTATGTTTTCTTCACTCAAAAAAAGGAACATGCGACTGCTAAAAGATACATAACGATTGTTCTAATTACCTGGCTCATCCGTGGACGCCTTCTTGCCGAATGACGAATGCTGGCAGCAGCACAGGCGATCATACGAGCTATCTCATGGGGAACGTAGTTACCTTCGAGTCGTGGGTCCACCAATTCGGCGTAATTGCCGTTTTCCAAAGCTTGAGTCAATAGTGGCCTAGCCTGTTGTTCGTCACGAAAAAATAATTATCAGATAAATTTCCAAAATAATTATAAGAAAAATTCAAATAAAACGAGCTTAGCAAACGAACCCAATCTACTAAGCTATCTTCCATGGTTTTGTTCGTCAAATCAACAGGTCGTCGACCGGTAATCAGTTCCAAAAGCATCACCCCGAATGAGAAAACATCGGATTTTTCTGTTAATTTTCCGCTAGCTGCATACTCGGGAGCCAAATACCTATAGTATATATCCAAAGACCGATATAAGCAAATTAATGTACCTTTCTTTTTGTGTAAAAATTAAGTCGCGATATGAAAAATACCCGAAAGTTCCCATGACACGTGTCGAGACATGAGTGTAGTTGTCGGAAGTGAGCTTAGCTAATCCGAAATCAGCAACCTGATCGAAGAAATTACAAATTTTAGTACGATTATAGTTAGTTACTTTGTTAAACACGAGCTCACATACATGACTAATTAATGACGGTAGTTAAAACATAATTAATTATATACCATGGCTTCGAAGTTCATGTCGAGAAGAATGTTCGCCGCTTTGATGTCGCGATGGATAATCCGAGGGTGGCCTAAAATCACAGAATACAAAAGAAAATGATTTTTGCATAGTGTGAAATTTGAAAACAATTAATATCTATAATAGATGCAATTGATATTTACAATCTTCATGTAGATAAGCAAGTCCCTTGGCCGATCCCACCGCAATACGAAGCCTCGATGCCCAATCCATAACCGGCTGCCCTTTTCCTGCAATCGATCATACAATATTACGTACTCGATTTATTAGAACACGCTAAAGATTTATTCGTAAAGATCGAGAGAGTTGTGTTTACCATGAAGGTGAAATTCCAACGTCTTATTAGCAACGAACTCGTAGACGAGCATTTTCTGTTCGCCAGCTATGCAGTACCCAACGAGGGACACGAGGTGGCGGTGATGCACGCGGCTAATGATCTCCACCTCCGCCTGGAACTCCCTCTGCCCTTGGCCGCTGCCGGATTTCAGACTCTTAACCGCCACCTCCCTCCCGTTGGGCAAGATCCCCTTGTGCACCAACCCGAAGCCGCCTTGCCCCAACAGGTTGGCCTGAGAGAATCCCGAGGTTGCCGCCGCCAGCTCATCGTAGGTGAACGGGCTCTTGGACCCGTAGCCGCCCACGTTGCCCCCCTGCGGAGGGTGCTGCCCGGAGACAAACTCCGTGGTGGCCACGGGGCCCATGTGCTGTGGGGATGGAGTGGCGCCCCCGCCCCAGGCGTTGTGGGCGGGGGTTCCGATAGTGCCGCCGGGTGGTGGGGGAAGCTTGCCGTTGGGATTAGGGCCCTTGTGGTATTTTTCATCACCTGAAAATAACAGAGCAATCTTCTTTGTGCTTGCATGTATTTCACTAGTAGAAATTTTGATGCAAATTAATTAACGATCCCTTTATAAAAAAAAAAGAAAGAGTTGCATGCATGCAAACCTGGTGGACGGAGTCCTTTCTCACCGTAATACTCTTGTTTCTTCCTCTTCCGCGTACACATTAGAGAGATAAAGACGAGGGCGACGAAAAATACTCCGGCCCCGAGAATTCCGGCAATAATAGCTATGTCTGAATACGCATTTGAACCTGACGACGAAGAATTACTAGGCCCTGCCGAGGAATCGGTCGACGGCGAACGTGGAGGTAAACGCGGTATAGCAGGGGAAGGAGGCGATTGCGAGCCGCCGCCGCCGCCCGTCGACGGCGGGGTGAACACGGGCGGCGACTCAGGGGGGCCTAGATTCGGGGTCGAGGACGGCGGCGGGCGCGAGTTTGTCGGCGGGGAGGGCGAGACCGGATTGTCAGGCGGCGGAGGGGATTGTTCGGGGGTTGTCGTGTCCGGGGGAGGGGGTGACGGAGGGTCGTTTTTGGTTGCCGGCGATTCGGCGGCGGGTGGCGGAGGCGAAGATTCGGCTGGTGGGCTAGGGGGCGATGACTCTGGAGGAGGAGACGCCGGCGGAGAATCTGGAGGCGACTCGGAATCCGGCGGCGGCGGTGGTGGTGGAGAATCCCCGTTTTCACCTCCCGGAGAAGTTTCGGGGGATGAAGCCATTTGTAATCGAATTTCCGGCGACCGGAAACTCCACAAAAATGCTCTTCACAACAATCCGCAGCCCCTAGATAATATTATAGTATCATTCCAAAAACGCATGATTGATTAACAATCCTACATTTGCATGATAAAAATTAATAATAGTGCAAATTAAAGATACCTGAATGAAGAAGATTGAAGGGTCCCCAAATGTAAGATAATTAATAAAGATCGATGTTTTTTTGTTTAATTTGATTATGGCATCTTACAAAAGAGGACGACCCCACCAAGACCAACAAACTAGGATCTTTTATGTTCTCTACGAGTCTTGTTCTTTAGACACACACCTCTAATTTAGGAAGGAAGTTTTTTTTCTTTCTTCTTTCTACCACTATTTTATTTTTATCAACGCCTTTTTTATTTATTTATTTTTGGATGAGGTTTCTTACAAGTTGAAAATCGGCAGAAAATGTGGAAATTAAACCTTTGTTAGCATGTGTCATATGATATGGAATTGTGGACCCTTAGGTGGTGTATGGGAAGTACTTCTATTTATAGTTATGAACGAGAAATTAGATGTTATATCTAATTATTTACATTTGGTGGATTTGAATTGTAGATCTATATATAATCACACATACACCCATGTGTATCTGTGCTGATTGGATAGTTATTTAATCTAATCCACAATTCAAATCTACTCAGTGTAAATAACTAGGTGTAGCATCTAACTTCCCGAAAAATTAAATGCTACATAAATGTTACATTAGGAGATACGTGTTACAAATACACGTTATAGGAAAGTGTAGCGTATTGTTGTTATTTCTATTGACTTCCTAATATAAGTCTATTGTACTCGCATTTTAGAATGTATGTAAAACATTTATACGTTTATGAATATTTTAAAAAGGCACTCTCAATCATAATATTAATTCAATCATTATTATCCATTTGAAATGCTGATAAGTATAAATATGAGCATTATTTCATTTGTAAAGTCGCATGGTGTTTGCAAAACCTATAACGGCCGCGATAAAAGACAACCCTATATTTTTCTTTGGTATTTGTATTGCTTACTACTTCACTCAACATGCTGACAAAACAAATAGAGTAATTATTAGATCAATAAATGATGACTGCACATTAAGAATGAATTGGACAAATTAAAAAAACATAATGAAAAAGATAAGAGCAAACAATGATAGATCATATATGATTCTCGATGTTAAGAATTCGAAGGATTTCTGTGTGCTCTAAGAGACACTTCGCTCATTTTTCATGCTCTATAAGCAACTTTAGTCTTACTTTTTACTTACTTTCGTCTTGTCATCAGATTTTTTTTTTATTATTTTAGTAGATAATTTACTTTTACGATAAGATATTAAGACATTTGTAAAAAAGTTAAATAATATGAACACAACTAAAGATATTTTTAATTTCGCTCAGGTACACAAAAAATGTGAAGACCGGATCTGTTCAAAGGTATCAAACCCATGGTCGGATATTCTTAAGAAACTACCTTTACCTAGTGAAAGATTGAACAAAAACAACAACAATTCATTAGTTTTTTAAACAAATCTAACATAACAGATCAAATTTGTATAGTATACTAGTATACACTGATAATATTTGTATTTAACCCTATTATGAATTCAACCAAATATGAATTGTCTTAAAGTTATGTTACTGGGTAAGAACTTCCCTATCCAATAACCGATCGAGCAATAATTTATTTTAATTATAAAATAATCTTATTTCCTTCATAATTACCCAATTATGAGTCTCAAACGTGCAACAAGCTTCTCCACACTAGTAGAAAAATGATTTTTAGAATCGTAGTAAATGCTAGGATTTATCGTAGTAAAAAATACTTGCAACGGCTAATTTCGCAGCAAAGTTTTTATCACGCTCGTATATGCTACGGGGCAAATTCGTAGCAAATGTGTAGAAGTCTTTTTACTACGAATTTGATACATTTTGCTACGGTTATGGTCATAGCAAAAAGCATTTTTTCTATTAATGCCACTGAGCTTGTTACATCTTTATTTTCTGAAGCTAAGCTTTTGCTACAGGGAGTTAAATGGATATTTTGGCTAATGTAGGGTTGTTTTTTCTATTTATCTAATAATGGAAGTGTGTATTTTGACTATTGTCCCCCGTTTCGATTCAAAGTGTTGCAACAAAACCTTTGATAACAATACATTAAGATTTGCATCTTTGCTACTTAAAATGGATATAATTCATACCACACAAATGCAAATGCTTGATTCCGAAGATTTACAATACAAATTACTCCCAATTCCCATGTAACAATAATCCCCATTTTCAAAAAAAAAAAAAAAAAAAAAAAAAAAAAAACCCTACATACATGTACACTAACCAAACTTCTCATTGAGATCATGTTGCACGTGCCCTTTTTCCGCAACATTAGATACCCCCTTCGGTGGTTGCGGAAATTGAAGCATCGGGGGCCGAAATGGCCACGGCACCACCCCTGCAGCCAAAGCAGGGGGCGAAGTAAACTGAACGGGCCTACTAAAAGAGCTTGAAGAACCATCTACATCCACACTACCTTTCCCCTGTAAATCAACTTCCATATTTTGCGCCTTCCAACACGGTGTTCCTTTGGTCTGATTAGACAAACCGAGCAAGATTTCAATCGGTTTACCATACTTGATAGATTCGCCTTCAACCAGATTGGATGGCATGGACCTTCCAGAAGAAATCGTGGCCGTTGGAAATGCCTTCTCCGGAGGTACAACGGGGTTGTAATTCGACGGAAGAAGATCGTCCCAGTTTTCCAATAGCTCTTTGTAGACTTTTCGGAGAGTGACTTCTGTTAGGCCCGTCACTTTGCAGATTTCGGCTTGTGTCTTGCGTTTGTCTTCCAGCTGGCAGGCTAAGTAAATGGCGGCGGCGGAGATGCTTATAGGGTTCCGCCGCGTGCAGAAGCACTTGTTTATTACGACCTCGCCTATGTGTGTTGCCAGCTCCTGAATAAAATGTTTTTTCGAGGTCCGCAAAATTAGGGCGATAGAAATTTCAAGAAAACGAAATTAATTGAATTGGAGATAAAACTAGACGAGTACCTGAGCGGATTTGTTGAGTTGGAGAAGCGTACAAAATCGGGGCATGTGGACTGAGATTGAATTGCTGTTGATTGGTTGACTTAGTTGGAGGGCTTCTCCGAGTATCTTGATGTACTTTCCTATCTCCTTTTGTGGTAAATTGGCGGCAATTGATATTTCCTGGTAATCAACGTAAAAACAGCTATAATCCAGACGAAACTAAGTTAGAAATAAGCGGAAACGACTGATCTTCGATATAATCGCCTTTCTAAATAGGGCAACCCTCTACAAAGTATCTCACCATTTAACTTTCATGGAAATAACATCCCCAAAAAAAAACGAATAAAAAAATGCGAGGATTTAATAATGGATGACAATTATTAAATCAGTAAGCAGCACTATCCATTTTTTTCGTTGAATTTGTTACGCTGATGTGAAGATTATCCATTAGGGTAACGGTCTGTGATCAGGTGAAGGCAAAGCCAATTTACGAGTCATGATTTGCAGAGCTTCCTCTTCTTGAACAAATGGTATGTTTTACAACAAAAGGATATACTAGTCAAAATAGCGTAGATGGATTATCATCCAAGGCCTCGTTTGGTTGCCAAGATAAGATTAGTCGGGATTAAATTAAATAATCTAATGATACCAAATTGTATTATCGAACCTTGGAAGATCCAATAAAAATACATGTCTAAAAGGCAAGATAAACCATGATAACATAATATTTGTAGGTCGACCCGACAAGTTATTAGGGATACCAAACATCAAACAGAGAGTTCCGTTATTTAGTTAATCACGGCTAATCTCCCCAACCAAACGAGGCAGATTAATACGGTGATTAAGCAAGCAGACAAAGGTTTCAACAGTTAACATTCAATATGGCAACATCCAATTTTCTTTCTTATTAAACAAAAAGCCCTAATTCCGATTCCCAATTTCCTGTATATAAGCTAATTGAGTTATCAGAACTAACGCAATTTGCAATCAATCTGAAACAAAATATCAATCAAATTGTACCTGAAGGGTTCTGGGCTCTTGAGCTTCTCGAATGGCTTGCACTAAGGCGGCGGTAGCTAACGCCTCGACGCTCCGATTCCTCAAACACGTGGCGGAGGAGCAATCCCTGAAGAGCTGAAACGCGTGGTCCGAGATATCGCAATCCAGCCCCAGAATCGAAGCCACGTCGATTATCTGCAAGTAAGCCCTAAGGTTATCGACCACCACCGAGTGCCCGGAGGCGCTCGAATTACTCCCCGGCGACGTCGTTTCGAGCACGCGCTCCAGCTCCGCCAAGTGGCCCGCGAACGAGAGCGATGAGTGGGCGAAAACCGGGTACGGCTCGAGCGACCACGTGGAGAAGGCGGTGATGAAACCGGTCGGCTCGAAGGGGTCCTCTTCGTCGGTTTGGGGGGGTGGGGGGGCGGTGGGGAGGTCGGAGGTGACGAGGCAGAGGGGGTTATCCTGCGCGCGGAGGTGGAAGAGGTGGTGTGGCTGCGTCTGGCGCTCCTCCACCACACGGCCGCAGGAGGCGCACTCCGTTATGCTCCGGCCGGCGGTGGTGGTGGCGCAGCGGCCCTGCGCGGAGGAGCAGTAAGGGCAGCGCATTTCGGTGGGAATAGTAAGCGGTAGGTTGACTCTCAGGTAATTTAGTGATTTGTTGCGTTTTAATATTGATTTTTTTTTAATTTGTCTTTTTATTACCTCTTAATTAATTATTTTTCTTCCCTGCAAATTTCACCTAAAAAATAAAAATAAAAATTTAATTTAAAAATTTTATAAGTAATCACACCTTTCTCTGTTTAAAATAAATAAATATTGATTTGATTGTAAAAAAAATAAAATATGTATTAATTCTTTTCGAAGCAAGTTTTTTCTTCTTTTTTCCCCTAAATATCGAAAAATTTCTACGAAAATATGGAAAATTAAACTGAAAATTATCGGCTAGCCTCCGACACATATTCGTGTTGACGGGAGAAAAAAGAAGAAGAAGAGCGGAATTTAATTTTAACACGAGAACGACGAAGAAGAAGAAGAAGAAGAAGAAATCGTTATTTTGAGCAATTCTTAGATTCTTCTAATTTTAGATAATTTATATAGATTTGAGGATAAAGAACCTAATATCCCGGATTGCATTTTGGCTATTAATTCCCAACATAGTTTATTTTATGTTATACATGGTAAAATACACCAGATAGATCTTTATAATTCATATGTACAAAAAAAAAAGATACACCCAATTTTTTTATGTGTGGATCAACAATAAAAAAATACCATGTAATCTTCACCGAACGTAGCATAGAATAAACCTTCCCAATACATGAAGATAGGTTCCCAACTTTTTGACCATTTAAAATGTGTGGATTTTGAATTTAAGTAATTGCTTTTATTACACATGCAATTATCCTCATTTTACACATGGGCAATTTTATACGTCTTTTCAGACGTCAAGTAAGTTCGAACACACATTTTTTTCATGTAAGCGCCTCCTATTTTCGCATCATACCATGTTCAAGTAACCTTAATGTAAACATGTTCATAAGTAAACGGAACAAATGATTATCTACTAGATTTTCGTAAAATAAAATATGCTGAATATTACATTTTTTATTGAATATGCACCATAGGTAGAATTGTAAATTAGAATGGAAATTTTGAATATTTCCAATGTGGATTTGAATATTTTCGATTTTGAAGAAATAATTTTCATTCCAAATTCCGAATGTTGCGATTTCTGAAAAAAAGAAAATTGGAAGAGAAATGGAATACATATTAGGTTCCGATTGATCCAATTTTAATTTTCGAAAATTCTATTTGTTCGAAAATTATAATATCAACATTATTATGTAACTTATACTCTAGGTGACTATAAAGAGTAAAAAGCAATTTCTCCCCTAAACTATAGCCCGTTTTGCACTTTACCCCCCAAACAAAATTTTTTTGCACGTTTTTACCTAAACTACAGTTTTCGTTGCACGGTGCCTTAAAAAGGGAATATTCAGAGCATTTTTGCCGGAATCCCACACACGTGACTTTCACGTGATTTTTCCAAGGGCAAAAATGTCTTTTCATAAAGAAATTAACCTGGGTTTGATTTCCCCGTTTTCTCTCTCTTTTTTTTTCTTCTCCAATTTCCTGACATCTCCTCTTCCTTTCTTCAATCTCTTACGATAATTTTCTTTCCCATTTTTTTTTTTCATTTTTTTTGTTGTGCTGGTCTTTTACTGGGATATGAGAAGACAAGAAAAAAATGAAAAATAATTCATAGATTTTTACCTAATTATTCTTCAAAATCAGATTACTGGTAATTATGCATTAAATTGATTTATTTATTTATTTTTTCTTCCAGTGGATTTTGGTAATCTGAGTTTAGATTTTTCTGGGATGTTATGTTTTGAATTCTCTCCATTATAATATGTTCGGATCTGGCTTTTTCTCTCCGTGGTTAGCAGCTTTAATTTATCAGTACTGTTTCATCTCTGCAGGTGATGGTGGTGAAGAAAATGGCAATTAAGTAAATTTCAACACTTTCGAAGTGTATATATATAGTCTGAAGAAAATTCCGGTGATCGATGTTCGATGACTTGGGTTTTTGTGGCGATTTCGATTTCGATTTCTTCTCGTCTTCGGCGCCCATCGTCAAAGAGCCGGACACGTGTCCTCTCCAATCTTCGGAGCCGCCAGGTCAGCAGCAAGACCTCGCCGGCGACGGAGACTACACCGACGATGACATCGACATGGACGAACTTGAGAGAAGAATGTGGCAGGACAAGATGCGGCTGAAAAGGCTTAAGGAATCGAACATGGGCAAAGACAGCGGCGGTGGCGGCTCGGCCCTGGATTTAGCAAAACAGAGGCAGTCCCAAGAGCAGGCCCGCCGGAAAAAAATGTCCCGGGCCCAAGACGGGATCCTGAAGTACATGCTTAAAATGAAGGCGCAAGGGTTCGTGTACGACATCATACCGGAGAAGGGCAAGCCGGTCAGCGGCTCCTCCGAAAACCTCCGCGAGTGGTGGAAGGAGAAGGTCCGCTTCGACCGGAACAGCCCCGCCGCCATTTCGAAGTACCAGTCGGAGAACTTCGTCGCCGGCAAAAACGAGACCAACAAAAAAAAAACGGGGAAAAGAAAGGTATTGTAAGTTGTAACGGAGAAGAAGAGAAGAGGAGATGTGAGGCAATTGCAGGGGAAAAAAAAGGAGAGAAAAGGGGAAATCAAACCCAGGTTAATTTCTTTATGAAAAGACATTTTTGCCCTTGGAAAAATCACGTGAAAGTCACGTGTGTGGGATTCCGGCAAAAATGCCCTGAATATTTCCTTTTTAAGGCACCGTGCAACGAAAACTGTAGTTTAGGTAAAAACGTGCAAAAAAATTTTGTTTGGGGGTAAAGTGCAAAACGGGCTATAGTTTAGGGGGGAAACTGCTTTTTACTCGACTATGAATATGTAAATTTCAAATTCCGATAGTTTTCCGATCATTCGATCACACAATTTCAACTTTTGAACAAGTTTGTTCATTTAAATTTCCCGAAATTTTTTATCTCCGATTTTCCCCATTATCTTAGGAACATAATTGCAATCAGTTTTCAACTTTCGAAAAGAAATTGAAAATTTCCCAAAAGTACTAATTCGATACGATATATCCGATTTAGGTGGTGTTTGCAAATGATTATGTAAAAGCAGAAGTTAGTGATTGTGATTTAAGTTAGTTTTAAGTGCTTCTTTCCAAAAGTTGGGGGTGTTCGCAAATATTACAGAAAATGAACTTAAATAGAAAAAGCAGGGTTAGGGATGCTTTTAAAAAAATAGCTTAAAGCAGATTATTTTAAGAGAAGCAAAAACAAAAGTTAATTTTGCAAACACCTGAAAACAAATTATGAGCAAAAGAAACCGCATAATCACTTTCAAAAAACATTTGCACCACCTTACATCCCTAGTCAGTATCAATTAATGTTTTTTTTTGGGAGATTATATATGAAACTTGAAATCAATCTTATTTCAAATTTCCAATCGATTAATACGGCCCAAAACCTCAATAATCAATATTCCTGGCCCACTAAATTTAGTTGGCCCACACCCAATTCGTATTCCTTTCTCAAAAGTCAACGTCAAACCCCCCAGTCCCCCCCCCCCCCCCCCCGATCCCACCCCCACCCCCACCACCAGTCCCACTGCAAATTTGGAAAGGAATATATATACAACTGTACTTACCAAAAAGCTTGCCTTCTCAAATTCAATCTCTACTGTATATATATATATATACATACACTCGATATGAAGGATGATGATGCATTGTTACCAGTATCAACCCCCACATCGTCATCAGTTGTATCGTTCTCCGGCCTTTTCGGGCGCCGCCGCTACAAGTGCTGGGCACTCGCCGCCATTTTGTTGCTGGCGTTCTGCTCAATGCTCACCGCCACCGTCAGCCTCCGTCGTTCCGCGGGCGATTTCAGCCGCCTCAACGACTCCCCCGCCGTCGAATTCCTCGACGTCCTCGTAATAATTCACAATCCACCTTCTCCGTACGATAAACACACACACAAACACACATCTCTGTGTGTGCTCTCGCCCCCAATTTTATTCCAATTGATTATTAATTTTGGTGTGTGTGTGTATGAAATTGAAGGATCTGGAGGAGAGGGAGAAATTGGTGAAGCAAATGTGGGATGTGTACACCGGCAGCCACCGCACCGGATTGGTAGGGTTTTGGCAGGACGCATTCGTCGCTGCGTATGAGGATTTGAGCAGCGACGCGCCGCTAGTTAGGGATATCGCCATTTCCGAGATAGCTATGATGTCTGTTCGTTACTTGCCATCTCTGAATTCTCCCTTCTCCTTGGTCAGTTTCCCCCCCTCCTTTTGTGATTATTGCTTTTAAATACATTGCAATTGTCTGGACATTATTGAACCAATAACTGTAGATCTTTGCTCATATATTTACACTCATCTTCTTATTTGGTTGAGAATTGATACTCTTGAATATAACTACATACTTCAATCGACCATAACCTCGTATTCGTGTTTCGTTTTTCTGTTTGCACTGTTTTTTTTTTTTAGTAATTGGAGGTAGAGTATGTGGTTGTTAACTTTGGTGACATAAGATTGATAGCTTTGCGAAATTAATATAGAATTGTATCGAGATCATTGCATTTGTAGTATTCTAAAATGGTAATCGATCAACTGCTCGTTACAAGTTCCTTCAGATTCAGAACTCTTAGTTAGTTGCTCCTCGTCGAAGTTGCTTGAATTATGATCTGGGATATATGATTTGGATAGTCTTTGAGTCTTACCCTCTAACACTGTCCCATGATCGAAGCCTAGTAGTTACAATCAAATAACCGGTTCCAACTCACCGAGTTGTGCTCAAACCCTCTGTCGTAACACCAATTTTAGTGCACCACCATCTGCTTTAATAACAGAAGCGAAGGTGAGTAAGAACTTAGTTCGGCTATAAAGAAGATTATTCGGCTGGGAAAGATTTCAGTGATGCACTTTGTCCGGATGGATTCTTAGATGGTTTGTTATTTCTGTATTATTGCAGGAGATGCAAGATTTGAATCTGCAACAAGTGGTTACTGCACTATAATCATCGGGGAATCGATGTACGTCTGCAAGCTGTTTACTTTTCCTGGTATACAATTAGTCTCATGGAAAACTCACGTGCTATCGATCACGTAATTAACATGATCAGTCTCTCGGGTTTTTTTTCTTCTCTTCATAATATACAAACAGCTTTGTAATAGGGTAATCTCTAATTCTTTACATTCTTGTGGAAGGTTTTGTTTTTTCTTCTTTTCTCTAGCTGCGATCCTTCTGTTATAGTGCAAAGTGTTAACTGTACATTTGTTGTTTTTTGGAAATGCTGAATTTAATGACTATACCAATTAGATGCCCCGAACTCGAGATAATGTCAAATTACGAAGAAAAATACCCCTCATGTTTGGGTAATTACAACCGTCCATCAACTATGAATCTTCTTACACGTCGATCATTGTGCTGTCAAATTCAGTAAAATCTTCTAGATTATGTGGAATATTCTTTAGTATGTACCCATTTTACCCCATTCGAGCTTCACATTTTGAAACAAGATGATCATTAGATATAGACTGTGGTGTATCAAAAACTTGCATTTTCGCACAAAACGAGTACGAACTAGACAGTATTCCACGAAATCAAGAAGATTTATTGAATTTGACACTATAAGAGAGGGTGGATGTATAAGAAGATTCATAGTCGATGTGATGGTTGTAATTACCCAAACATAATTTTTTTTTCTTTTTTATATAATTTGACCTTACCTCAGGATAATGGCTGTAATTTGCCCTTGAATTTACTAATGAGCAATTTTTGAAGGAAACAAAATCATTATGCACTTTATGATCATTCAGTAAAGACCATCAAATTTCTAAAAACCTGATTAATAAATAAAAAATGGTTTGCACTAAAATGTACAAACACCTCAAATAATCTCATATAGAGAGAGATCTATTTCTGCTTGAACTCCGTCGGGGGCATAAAGAACTCCGGTTTCAAACCCCAAACGTTAAAATCAACTTCCTCGATTTTCCACGATTCTTCGAGCTCCCTCTTGTGGTTGGCCGATTGCTCGCCGTATCTAAAAACCGTGAAAAACGTCTTCCCACTATGGGCTATGTTTACACCGTCCACGTACTTATAATCTTCGATCACAGATTCGGTGCTCGTTTCCCAAAACACATCGCCATCCTCTTTGCTTGTTTTCACAGAGAGCAGCCTTGAGTCCTCGAATTTCACGAGAAGGCCCGATCTTTGGCTGAAGTAACCCCAAACGGTGTGGTGAATGATTTCGTATTTGGGCCCACTCTGGGCCTCAAGAGTTGACTGGCTTGTGTCTAGCTTTAGTATGAAGCAGTCTTCGTCGTTGATGATCTTTTCGCCTATGCATACTGCGTCTATGAATAGATTGGACGTTGCACGTGGGTCCAGTCCCTGCATATTTTCACAGAAATTCGGAGCTTGTTTGCGAAAAAAATGGGAAAATGTTTGACAATAAAACGCATAATTTCTAAGAAACGGTGTGGCCAAGGCCTTCAGTTGTCCTATTACCTATTATGACTCTGCCACTGACAAATACCCCTTGCGTTCTATAATCGCTTCGGATTGGTTGATGAAGAAAACTATTAAATATGTGTGAGATTTTTAATTTTTTTCCTAATTGTACATTGAGTAAACTACCCATCTCATTGATTTTATTTCAACAAATTACTCCCAAAAAAATTAAATTAGACAAGGGCCAAATTGAGAAACAGGTAATTAATGTATTATTGCAACTCTAATTAAACTGACAGATAATAAGGAACAAAAGTTCTCCAAAGCGAAATGTAGTTTGTAACATAGTGAGTATCAAGAATGCAAATTCAGATTGATTATCAATACGAAATCTTACACGTGCATTCGTATATGCGTTATATTATAGTACCTGTAAGAAACGGCGAAGAGGTCTAGGAGGGCCCTTGGAGATTGGCCTCTGTTGATTGGACGATTGCCTCCAAGAAAGCTTGCCGTTACTACCCGATATGACCTTACAACCGGAGATAAGCAACTCGAGACACCATAAATCCGGATTCTTCTGCCATAACACGAAACCACCGGCCTCTTCGTTGCTCCTCACCTTTACACTGTCGTCGCCTTGATGAAACTCCGATCCAGTGATCTTGACGTGCCCTATTACGCACATGCTGTTCACCGCGTTAAGGGCTGGCTGCCCTCCGGTCGCTGCTATGTATTGCGTGACTATGTATTTCGCTGTTGAGGCTTCCTATTAACAAAATTAAAATAAGATTAACCAAGATAATATTAAATAATCTAATGAAAATACAATTATTTTATCGGACTCTGAGACATCCAACAAAAAGAACTCCTTAAAAAATAAGATTAGACTAGATGGATAAGCCTTGATAACATAATATTTGTGGGTCGATCCGGCAATTTATTGGGATACCAAGCATCAAACAAAATCCATTTATTTAATTAATAATGACTAATCTTTCCAACCAAACGAGGTCCAGTTGAACTAATTAGTGATTTATTGTGGTTCCATAGTTCATCAACAAAATGTACATGCTCTGGTTTTTTAATTTCAATTGTTGATTTCAAATTTGCCCAACTTTTTAGCAGCTCCGATTATTTAGTCAATCTAATGAAAATTAAATTATTCGGGACGTCAAACAAAAACTCTTTAAAAGACAAGATTAACCGTAATAACATAATATTTACATGTCGACGCGACAAGTTAGTTAATAATGAATAGTCTCCCCAACCAAACGAGCCACGGTTGAACTAATTAGTAGCAAGATCAATCAAAAAGACAAAAACAGAGTCAAAAATTTTATTAATGAAAGTAATAGTAGTAATTAAGAGAAGAAAATATGAGCAGTAAGAGTAGTAAGTACTAACAATGGAGGAATGCTTGACGGCGCGGTGGATGGAGCGATCGACCTGGACTTGAAAAGGGAGAAGAGGGGATCCGACGATGTAGAGAAGGAAGCTCATTTCATTGTAACGGCCGGCGATGATCGGGGACGACCACTTGTCGGAGGTCTGTGCCTTCATCCACGTGGCCATGTTCTGCCACCGGAGTGCCACGCTGTTTCCCAGGCCGGCAAACATCTCCTCCGGTATCGGAACCTCCAGCACCGTCTCCAGTGAATCTTCTCGGTCGAAATTCGGACACATTTTCCTCATTACATTTTTCTGTTTCGTTTTCGCCTGTCCGTGAGTATTCATCTTTTAAATTTTTTTTTATGTGTTCTTGATTTTCAGAAACAAAAAAAGAATCACAGTGGTGTGTTCTTTGTGATGAATTAATATGATTAACCATTTTTTTTTTAATAATTTTTTTTTTTTTTTTCCTGGAAAGAAAAAAAAAACTGGAAGGCTGGCCGTGGTTGTAGGGGTCGTGTGGGCACGATGAAAATATTCTAACTTGGTTTTCTGAATTTATGCAAATTTTAATGGGTAATTGTTAACTTAAAAAAAGAAAATCAATTTTGTTAATTAATTACTATTTTTTTTTTTTTTTGAGAAAATAAATCATCATATTGATAATACTATTAAAATCAAGTTTATTTGACTGATTTAAATATGTGATATTAGTTTTTCAAGAAATTTAGGCAATTAAAAAGTGAAGGGATTGTATATAATATGAAAAATATTAGGGGAAAATATATTATAAACTAAAAAATAAATAAAGAAAATTAAATATGAGAACTAAACTGAATTACAGAAAATGGCACATACAAATTGTGCCAATAAATTGATTAACCCCTTACAAAATAAATGAATAATAAAATAAAATAGCACAATTAAAAAATAAAATACAGATAGGAGCGTGAATCGGAACAGAGTTTCCGAACTCCGTTGATTCTAATCCGAAAAGTTTTGTTTGGAACCATTTTGTTCGTTTTGAATTCCAATATTCTGATTCCTGACCGATTTTCGATCCAATTTAATTTTCAAAAATAACTCTGAATATTGTTAAATAAAAGTTGAAAATATATCATACTACTATTAATATTATATAGGGTAAATTCCGCTTTACCCCCTCGTACTGTGCCTGAGAAACACTTTACCCCCTCGTACTCTCAATTTCATTGATTTACTCCCTTGTACTTGTACAATTTCCCAATACAGCCCTTGCCTTCAACTTTTGTCAATTTTGACTCTGACGCCGTTTGGTTAAATTACAAAATTGCCACTGTCTATAACGCGTCGTTTCTCCTCCGTCAATATTGTCATTTCTTCTTCTCCCACTACTTCCCCTTTCCAAGATATCCCCAAATTGAACCCTAACTTAGTAAAAATCAAGATTAAAAAATTGATCGATTCCACCCAGTGCAAAGAAAAAAATATATGAATGTGTGAAACTTTCTCTTTTCTAATCTCGAGAGTCAAAATAAAAAAAATCAATATTTACGTCAATATTTTGACTCTTGACCAAATGGCGTCAGAGTCAAAATCGAAAAAAGTTGACGAAGAGGGTTGTATTGGGAAATTGTAAAAGTACAAGGGGGTAAATCTACAAAATTAATAGTACGAGGGGGTAAAGTGATTATTAGGCAGAGTACGAGGGGGTAAGTGGAATTTACCCATTATATATACCAAAGCTTCTAATAATTTCATATAAGTTATTTGTCTATTTTTGTTTCATGAGTCTAATATCCTTTTTTCCCTTCTATTTTGTAGTCATTTCAAAGTCCAAAATAATTTTATTTCTCTCTATGATAATTCACTAAATTTTGTAGATAATTATGCTACAATTACATAAAATTAGAAGTATCACTATTTAGATGGGAAAAATACAATTTTCACCCTTCAAATTTGCATTAATTTCACATTTGGTTCTCCATATTCATAAGAACATATTTGGTCCTTTATGTTTCAAAATTTCAACATATTTACTCATTTTCTTCAATATTCCGTTATTACTAATAAATTCAAGCGTGTGTTAAAGATGAAAAATATTAAATTATTGAAATACGTGGGACCAAATGTGTTTTCTTGTGAATAAAATAGGCCATATACATAATTGGTACAAGCTTATGGGGTGAAAATTGTAGTTTTCCCCAATTTAAATAAAAAGAAGTACCGTACCGAACCGTTGAAGTTTGCACGTTAATTAGTTGTGTGCAACCTCATCGTAGTTAATTGAACACAAAATGGGAATGTCAACAGATTGAAGAATAATGTCTCATTGTGCGAATTGGTCCAGTTTTAATTAATTAACGGTTCGATTGGTCGAGCCGATCGAGCTACTTAATTATTATGTAAATTTATTTTATATAATATTCTAATTAATCTATTATAAATTTGGAGGTATCCCAAAATAGTTTATTCATCACAATACACATCATCGTAATTAGTTTAAACATTAAAGTTTAAAACACTAAACTCTTATAATTTATGATTTTCTAGATGTTGCCATTCTCAGGCTAGGCGACGTGTGAAACTTACTATACATTATAAGAAGGGGCGAACCCAGGGAGTATTGGGTGGGGGCTAGAATTTTTTTTTTGGACTAAAATGATACTAAATTTGAAGTTTGGGGGCTAAATGGAATAAATTAATAGATAAATAACATAAAATATTAAAAATTTAATAAAAAACAGGTAATTTTTTTTTTTTCTGCAGGGGCGGAGGCCCCCCAAGGTATACGTTGGGTCCGCCCCTGATTATAAGTATATATATGGGGAGTTAGATGTTAAAAATGTTGAGTGTGTGTGATTATGTGCAAATCAATAGTTAATAATTACAACAATTAATAATCACATACGTATTTCATTGAATGTAACATGAAATAAACCCAAACTTTTTAGTGTCACATTTTGACTTTTCAATATGCCTTTATATATTGTTAGTAATTTATGTATCACATCTAAGCTTCCATAAATAACATATTGGTCCATTTGATGTACACCCTTAGTATGAAAAATATATAGGGATAGGTCCACCCCTAAAATTCTTCCTTTGAGATAACCCCTGGAGAGGCAAAAGTACTATTGTGCCCTTCTATCTAATTTTTGCCCAACTGCATTCAGTATTTTTACTAACTGCATTCAGCATTATGATCAACTGCAATTAACATTTAGACCTGCATTTATCATATTATCAGATTTTTTTAATAAAAAATTATAAATGTTTATTTTATTATTATTTTATATATATACATCTGTTGTATTTTTTATTTTTTAAAATTGTTTAATTTTTTGTAATTTTTAATTTTTTAAAATTTTTAATTTTTTAATTTAATAATTTTTTTAATTTTTTAATTTTTTTAATTTTTTTAATTTTTTTTAATTTTTTTAATTTTTAATTTTTAATTTTGTTTCAATATTTTGATAAATTTACTGTATTGAAATTGACTACACATGATTATTGTATATATATTACATATGATTATATAAAAAAAACTTTATCTACACCAAAAACAAAAATTCACAATTTAATCTTGATATTATAAATCAATTAATACCCAACAAAAAATTGGAAAAACACAATCATCAACATCACTGTACATCAGAAAACACACATAACTTATATAGCTTATATATAACAATATATTACTACGAGTTACTACACGTGACTATATATGACTACACGTATATGACTACACATGACTATATATGACTACACGTGACTATATATGACTACATGTATATGACTACACGTGACTAAATATGACTATATGTATATGACCACGTGTGACTATATATGACTTGATAACGCAAATCTCTCCTACACTGAAACAAGTACAACCAAGTTTCGAATAAGACGTAATTGTCGAGAAACTGCCGGTCCTCCCACTGTATCATCACCGACTCGCCTGACAGACTCCTCATCCAACACAAGAGTAGCTTCTAGAGTTGGTAGCCAATCTGCATGTTGAAGCCAATGTCTCAAAGAAGAATTGCCATGATACTGAACATAAAAATAATTCAGACCCTCAATCATCTTGGAAATATGAAATCATTAGCACATTAACTAACAGAATAAATGAAAACGGGAGCACCCCTCTAGATTGACTTTTTGAGAAAGAGAAACTTACACCATGTACTAGAGTAAATGAACAACTGTCATCATTTGTGGATGAACATATATAGCCATGAACTTGAACCGAGTAAGAATGGTACATTACTCTACGGTGAGCCAGTCTTTTCAACACCTGAATGTAATTTCACTAAGAAGACATCAAAGTCGGACAATATATCACCATTTTCAAAATGTAACTTACTAATGTGTCAACTTAGCATACCTCTATTGCCCTTCTTCCCCTACGTTGCGCCTGATTGCTAACCAGTCGCCGAAGCACAACTTTCTTATTGAACAGTGGACTGCATTACTAGAAAGAGAGCATTATTATAATTTCTATTTCTCTTCATGATACTTTGGTTGATAAAATCCTGAAACGAATGTCGTAAATCAAAACAAACCTACTAGCTTCCTTCACTGTAGCTTCATATACAATTTCATCACCCTGCATTACAACTCAACAAAAGCACAATGAACACAGTCAGATCATAGCAACATGAAACTTTATGAACTCAATCTTACAACATAAATAGCAAGAGAAGCCAATAAACTGCTACTTACCCTAATAATTACATGTAGTCATGTACCTTTTTTTGCCCCAATATCCATTTTCCAAACAATTCACCAAGAAATTGATTATAGGAAAAGAAAATAATCAAACACAATACAATTGAAATTATTAATAAAATTAAAATCATATTTCTCTCTCCATTTTTCCTTTATTGCAGTCATTTTATTAATATACACATTGAACAGAGAGGGTGAGTTTATGAGCATACCCTCTCAAAATCATCTTCCTCTCTCCAGTTTTCCTCTGCATTCATTTTATTAATATATATATTGAACAATTGGAACAGGAAAATTCAGAGAAAATAATAAATTAATAAAATATGAAGAAAAAAGACTTACGGCTAGATTATCACCAGGGGTAGTTGTCTACCTGGAACAGGATCCCGTGCGGCGGAATATGGATCTCGTTCTCCTCGTAATCGTCGCCGATCTCCGTTCGACGATTCTCTTTGCAGGCGTTATCTTCTTGCCGACCTTCGGCTTCTTCTGGGCCGCCGCCGCCGCCGCTTCACGACTTCCGCCGACGCAGGAAGAAATTTTCGATCGGGTGGCGGAGAAGAACGGGTGGTGCTCCGACGATGTGAAGCTACGCAGACCGCCGTTCTCCACCATGATTCCCGCAACCTTCGCCGCTGCTCTCATCGCGCCGCCTCCCATGTTATTTTCAGATTTGGTGGAGATTAATTTCGAAGAAAGAAAAGAGTGAACGAGAGAGATAGAGAAGGAGAGATGAAGAGAGTGATGTAACGGCGATTGTGGGTTTGATGAGAGAGAGAATGTTAGGGTTAGAGTATATATTGAATTTAAATTAAAAGGGCAAAATATGTATTTTAAATTGTCTAGGGGGTCTCACTAATTAAGATCAGGATTTGAGTTTTTGACTACGAGAAAAAAAATTATTGGACCTCCTCATATATATTTTCAAAACAGGAGGGTATCACTCATTTCCCCTAACATATTTACATGCAGTTTAGGGGGAATTTGTCTACGATTTGGCCCTTGTTAATAAAAGACCCCTAGTAATTAAATTACACCAATTGAAACACGCAAATTATATAATCACGCCGATTAAAACTCAAAACCAATACAATTATAATGTAAATTGAATGAATTTCATAGCAATTCTGATATTTCATAGCAATTTTGATAAATCACCGAGTGTGGCATCAAATCACCATTACTTCATAGCAATTTTGATAATTTCAAAACTTTTGCTATAGTTAGTGATTGATGGTCAAGGCATAAATGTAATTTTCACAATGAATTATTAGAGAAAATATTTGGTAGAACTTTGTGAAAGAAAGTATAGTTTTAAAATAACTTGATACCTAAAATAGCTGAATAATATTTTTGTTCTTTTTACTTTTGTAAAATATTTTTTTGTGAAAAAATAAATTAATATGTTCATGAGATGTATTTTTATTTTTAATATTTTTACGCTTTGTAGTTTGGAAAAGATTGACGAATAAAACAAAGTGATTTCACATTTTGCATCCCCAAAAATACCACTAAAAATATTGAATTATCTTTATTAGGTTTAAAAGTTTATTTGTGGTGCATTATGTATAATTCATTGTGTTATAACTTTTATGTAGAGTTTTTGGGATTGTCATAATTGAAATATAACTTGTGGGGTTATTTATAATTTACCCTTAATTATCATATGACGATATGAATCATCAAACACACTATATATATCCATTTTAATTAATGATGATCAAACACAAATCAAAGGCAAGAATTAATTGATTAACTATTGACCAGCTCCAACTGCTTGGTCTGGTTCTTGGAAGTGCTATCACCACCTTTGCTGAAAAGCTCCTCCATCTCCTCCAAGCTCCGCCCCTTCGTCTCCGGCAAGCAGAAGAAGACGAAGAACCAAGCCACCACCGCCACTCCGGCGAACAAATAGAACGCGCCGCCTATCGTTATCGCCGACGACAGCGACAGGAACGACATCGAGACAGTGGCGTTCATCAGCCTGTTCACCGCGACGGCGACGCTGGCCCCCGCCGCCCTCAGCCTCATCGGAAATATCTCCGAGCTGTAGACCCAGCAAACCGGGCAGAGCCCGACGTTGAAGAACATTATGAAGGAGTAGACGAAGATCAAACTGAGGACTAGGGCCCACAGAAGCTTCTTCTCCGAGTGCTCCACCACCGTGAGGCACGTGCCGAGTCCGGCCAGCGTCAGAATCATGCCTCCGATGCTGAACAGGAGAAGCGTGCGGCGGCCGACCTTGTCGATTATGAAGGTTGATATGGTTATGAACGTCAGCTTCGTCAGCCCAACTCCGACGGTCGCTAACAGAAGCTTCCTCTTCGCCGTCACGCCGGCCTTTCTGAAGATCCTCGGCCCGTACAGTATCACGGCTTCAGTCCCCGTCGCGTGCTCGAAGAAATGAACGCCGACGCCGGCGATCAACATCCGGCGGACGGTGGGTGTCGGTCGGAGGAGCAGATCTCTCCACACTCCGCCGCCGCCGGCGGCGTTCTTCGGTTTCGGGATCTTGACGACGTCGTCGGTGGTGTTTTCGTCTATTCCGGCGGCCCGCTTGATGTCTCTGAGACGCTGCTCCGCCTCTTCGGCGTCGTCGCAGACTTTGTACATGATCTTCTTCGCCTCCCCCAGCCGCCCCTGCATCACCAGCCACCGCGGCGACTCCGGCATCTTCAAGATTCCGATGGCCAGGAACAGCGACGGGATCGCCGCGATCCCGAGCATCAGCCGCCACCCGAGCTCCAATCTCAACCTAGCAAAAATATTGTTCGAAATATACCCGAGGAGTATGCCGGAGCTTATCCCAATCTCCGGCAAGGACGAAAGAAACCCACGTGTGTTCGCCGACGATATCTCGGCGGCGTACACCGGCGCTATCATCAGTGCGAACCCTACTCCGATGCCGGCCGTACACCTTCCCGCCAGAAGAACGCCGTAGTTCGGCGCGTAACCCATCAGAATCGAACCCAGCATGAAGATTATGGAAGCCATAACTATGGTGTATCTCCTTCCGATGTAATCGGAGGTTCTTCCGGCGCATAGAGATCCGACCAAAGCGCACAGATTCAAGATTCCGGCGAGTACTTCAATCTGTCCTTCCTTAACTGAAAATTCTTCCTTTATGAAAATCATTGCTCCACTCATCACACCAGTATCTGCATATATCATCAAATATTTCATAATTAATATAATATAATATTATATTAACTATCCAAAATAATAATATTAAATAATTATAATTACTAAAAGAATAGGAAAAACACTCACCGTAGCCAAAAATAATGGAAATCATAGAGCCAACAACAGCACAACGGCAGGCATATTTGTTAAGCTTTCTCTCACTACTAATTTCTCCGGCAATAGCCATTTTTATTACACTTTAATTATTTAAAATAAAAATAAATAAAATTCTCTTCTTCTATTTGATAATTAAATCAAGAAAAAAAATTGCAAATGACGAACTATAAATACACACACAAAAGAACCAAGAAAACTACTTCATACTGATCACTGGAAAGTAGTAAACGCTTCAAAGCATGCCCCATAAGTGGACCAAAAAATAATATCTAAGAAAACAAGACACCAAGTTGCAATATAATAATAAGTTATGTCGACGAATAAAGACAGAGTTTCGTAAGCAGCGAGGTTGTTTTTTCTTAGGGTTAAGATTAATTATTGGGGAGAACAAAAATAGGGTTTTGACGTTTTGTGGCTAACACACGAAATAAGTAGTAATATAGACTATTTAACTTCTCTCTCTTTATCCTATTTATTTGGATAAGACTGCTATAATTACGTCGGATCATTTAAATCTATTTCGGTTACATTTTATTAGTCAAATTTGTTATCGAAACTTAAGGATAATTTATATTTTAGGAATATTTCTTCAATTGGTATTATTTCTTTTTTCTTGAGTCGATAAGATCTGTAAACATGTTTGTTATTATGTGTAAATCAGTGGTTTAAAATTATTCACTGTAGTTTATGATTTTATCGGATGTGGTATCTACAAAATCGTATGTTTGACACAATATCGTTTAAAATAATAAAGATTCGATTTTGTGCATAGAGTTATAGAGAAGATAGTATTGTAATTATTATTTTTTTATAAACAAAATAAAATGTTTGCTACTATATATGTATGTTTATTATTATTATTTATTTTTTATCCTTTTAAATAAAAATGGCATTGACCGTTGAAGTTGACCTTATTAGGAGATCTGAATTAGCTGTCAAATTGGAATTATAGATAAGAATTGGCAACTTGTTGATATTGGATTTGGATCCACCGTCCGGATAACACGCCGGTATTTACATCTCATTTGACCTTGGACTTTTTTTTTTTTTTTTTGATTTTTTTATTAATATATCTGAATATAAACACATGGTGATATTTTTATATGTTTTTTAGACAATATATGGTGATTTTTAGTGAACACAACACAATTTTTCAATTTTAAATGTTAGTCTCACTCTACCAATTTATTATATTTGCTAACTTTATCATTCTAAATATCACTCTTATATTTAATTTATTACATTTAGTGTTGTTGAATTAAAAATTTAAATTAGGCTTTTTAACTTTTGGAATTAAATTATGACAAATAAATTTATATTCAAACTATGTTCATAGATTTATCTTGAAATTGAAAAAAAAAATTGCGACTACTACTTAGAGTGAAGAGGTTTTTTCGTTGATTTGGTAGGATTAAAAATACAAAATTGGTGAAAATGCGAGCTAGAAAAACTTCACAAACAAACGAGCGCATGGGGTAAATACAAGTCTGAATTTTGCTCAAAATTCGATAAATTCATATTATTGGTGATTAAATTATCACATTTACTAAAAATAAATTATGTATTCATGAAGTCCCTTAATATATTCATCATAAATGACCAATGGTAAATAAAAACATGCTTGGAATTTGGAACCAAGTGATATTTGCAGTTATATCAGGAAGATGGTGTTTATAAACGTTTTTCAAAGTGATTATGACTTTTTTTGGTTCAAAATTATTCTTTTCTAAACACTAAAACGCTCATAATCACTTTGAAAAAGTGTTTGTAAACACCACTTATGTTTGTGGAGGAGCCAAATGCATTAAAACATTTCTGATGTGCAACCATTAATCTTGTTAGTACATATTCTTTTGTACTTCTATATAAATTAATAGAGATTTGTAACCTGACACTTTTAAAGTTTTTAAGAACGGCCAATTAAATGGCTAAAATCAGATGCCACTCACAAACAGACACGTAGATTTTTAATAATAAATAATTTTCGTTAAATAATCATAGATAAAATTCTCATTTTCAGCCATATTAAAAGAAAGGGGTCACCTCCCTTGATGCTGAATCATTGACTATTAAAGAACCCTGTCAATTTGTTAACAGTGCCCAGATCGACAATGTTATTTTCGATTCAGACTCACTCAACGTTATAACTTTCATTAATGATCGATCCATCTCACTACTTTCACTGGACTGTAAAGATTAACGTTGAAGCTGTCGAGCGTTTTTTGTTTCTTTGACATACATGGAAGTTTAAATACTCGTTGCGTAATTCAAATTTTGCAGCTCATTATGTGGGCATCAAATGTTGATTGGATGTGTTTTTGCGATAGTGGCTCGCCCATAGTTGATGCTTGTAATTTTTCGTTCTATTGAAGTTTCTCATTTCATCGATTAAAAAAAAAGTGGGGTTCACCCCTAAAATCAACAAGTGATTCACCAAAGTCAACTTGAAGAATATTGTTCAACTCAATTGACTGGTCTAGTGGTCTAAATAATACGAAAATGACAAACGTGCCCCCACACACATCACATTTTGATTGCAACTCATAGCACGACACCATAAGCGTGCTTATACAGCCTCCATATTTTATTAGTTCTTAGGCCAACTGTATATATATTGTTAATGTATATTCTTAGGAAATAAGTTAGGGATTTGATTTGATATACTTTACATAAGTTAGGGATTTGATTTGATATACTTTACATAAGTTAGGAGATTTGATTTCATTGTAATTAGTAATTTCCTTGTATAGCTTTCTCTCTATGTGTATAAATAGTGCCTCCTATGGAGAAGAATACACATCAATTTTTCATCAATTCTATTAACATGGTATCAGAGCCAATCTCTGATCTTCTAGCAATTTTTGGTTTCCCTGTGGTGTTTTCATCTTCTTCGTTTCTCGCTTCCGCCGAAACACCATAAAACCACTGTTCTGCGTGCGTCATCGCTCCGATTCAGATTCTGATCATACCACCAAGATTGTCGTTAAACGATCTACTCATCGGTGAAAATCAGACTGCCATCGGAGACCGCACGCGCCCTCACGCGCCCCGAGAAGGTTATGCGCACAGTTTCACGCGCCGCCGTACCGCCGCTGAAGAATTTTCACGCGCCCACGCGTCTGCTCTTTTGGCTGCTTTCTGTGACGTCATCCTCACGTCATCGCTGACATCATCCTCCTCTAGCAGTGACGTCACCGGTGCTTTGTCATCGCTGAGTCAGCTCGCCACGTCAGCACCAGTCATCTCGCCACATCAGCATCGGTAATCTGTTGACTTTGACTTTTAGGTCATTTTTACCCGATTTTTCGTGTAGATTTCAGTATTTACGTCCGTTTTATTAAAAAAAAAATGGATAAAAGAGATAATTTTCTCCCTCGACCCATCAATAGTACTCTAGAAGGAACCAAGAATTACTTGTCATGGTCTCAAGTTATGAGAAGTTTTCTTAAAGGTCGAATGCTTTGGCAATATTGTACTGAGTCACCTCTAGTTCTTCGAGCATTCTCCGATAGTGATTGGGCTGGAGATCCCACTGATCGCAGGTCAACTACTGGTTATTGTTTTCTTCTTGGCACATCTCTAATATCTTGGAGAAGTAAGAAACAAACATTTGTTGCCCGATCCAGCACTGAAGCAGAATACCGTGCTCTTGCGGATACCACATCTGAGCTCCTTTGGCTTCGATGGCTTATCAAGGACTTAGGAGTATCAACATCCTCTCCCATTCCTCTTCATTGTGACAATCAAAGTGCTATCCATATTAGTCACAATGATGTCTTTCATGAACGGACTAAACACATTGAGATAGACTGTCATTTTATCCGTTCACACATTATTCAAGGTATTCTCAAGCTCTTCTCAGTTTCTTCCAAAGATCAACTTGCAGATATCTTCACAAAGCCTCATCCTAAGGGACGTCATCGTGATTTGGTCTACAACCTCAAGTTGGTTTGTCACCCTCCTTGAGGTTGAGGGGGGCTGTTAATGTATATTCTTAGGAAACAAGTTAGGGATTTGATTTGATATACTTTACATAAGTTAGGGATTTGATTTGATATACTTTACATAAGTTAGGAGATTTGATTTCATTGTAATTAGTAATTTCCTTGTATAGCTTTCTCTCTATGTGTATAAATAGTGCCTCCTATGGAGAAGAATACACATCAATTTTTCCTCAATTCTATTAACATGGTATCAGAGCCAATCTCTGATCTTCTAGCAATTTTTGGTTTCCCTGTGGTGTTTTCATCTTCTTCGTTTCTCGCTTCCGCCGAAACACCATAAAACCACTGTTCTGCGTGCGTCATCGCTCCGATTCAGATTCTGATCATACCACCAAGATTGTCGTTAAACGATCTACTCATCGGTGAAAATCAGACTGCCATCGGAGACCGCACGCGCCCTCACGCGCCCCGAGAAGGTTCTGCGCACAGTTTCACGCGCCGCCGTACCGCCGCTGAAGAATTTCCACGCGCCCACGCGTCTGCTCTTTTGGCTGCTTTCTGTGACGTCATCCTCACGTCATCGCTGACATCATCCTCCTCTAGCAGTGACGTCACCGGTGCTTTGTCATCGCTGAGTCAGCTCGCCACGTCAGCACCAGTCATCTCGCCACATCAGCATCGGTAATCTGTTGACTTTGACTTTTAGGTCATTTTTACCCGATTTTTCGTGTAGATTTCAGTTTTTACGTCCGTTTTATTAAAAAAAAATGGATAAAAGAGATAATTTTCTCCCTCGACCCATCAATAGTACTCTAGAAGGAACCAAGAATTACTTGTCATGGTCTCAAGCTATGAGAAGTTTTCTTAAAGGTCGAATGCTTTGGCAATATTGTACTGAGTCACCTCTAGTTCTTCGAGCATTCTCCGATAGTGATTGGGCTGGAGATCCCACTGATCGCAGGTCAACTACTGGTTATTGTTTTCTTCTTGGCACATCTCTAATATCTTGGAGAAGTAAGAAACAAACATTTGTTGCCCGATCCAGCACTGAAGCAGAATACCGTGCTCTTGCGGATACCACATCTGAGCTCCTTTGGCTTCGATGGCTTATCAAGGACTTAGGAGTATCAACATCCTCTCCCATTCCTCTTCATTGTGACAATCAAAGTGCTATCCATATTAGTCACAATGATGTCTTTCATGAACGGACTAAACACATTGAGATAGACTGTCATTTTATCCGTTCACACATTACTCAAGGTATTCTCAAGCTCTTCTCAGTTTCTTCCAAAGATCAACTTGCAGATATCTTCACAAAGCCTCATCCTAAGGGACGTCATCGTGATTTGGTCTACAACCTCAAGTTGGTTTGTCACCCTCCTTGAGGTTGAGGGGGGCTGTTAATGTATATTCTTAGGAAACAAGTTAGGGATTTGATTTGATATACTTTACATAAGTTAGGGATTTGATTTGATATACTTTACATAAGTTAGGAGATTTGATTTCATTGTAATTAGTAATTTCCTTGTATAGCTTTCTCTCTATGCGTATAAATAGTGCCTCATATGGAGAAGAATCCACATCATTTTTTCCTCAATTCTATTAACATATATATTCCTTATTATTAAAATATTATTTTATTTTTAAGATCTCTAAAAAATCAATTCTTCAATAAATAAATCTTCACATTTCAAGAACTACTTGCAATTACTCAAAAAAAAAAAAAAAAAAAAAAAAAAAAAACCATTTGCAATTAGAAGAACAAAAAAGGGTGGTTTGGACCTTTATCTTAAATTTTAATTTTTTTTATTTTATTAAATAAATATTATTATTTAATAATTTTAATTGTATAATTGGGCCTACACATTGAAAAGTTGGGGTTTATATTATTGTATTTGGGCTTTATCCAAACTCCACAACCCAAACCTTTAGGGCAGAATTTTTGGATATCGGCTAAACTGTATTAGATGACGTAATTAATGCATATATTCATATATGTTAATCAACTATTTATGTAATATTACACTGTTGTATATCATATAAATCATTTCACTTTATTGCACTTATTGATCTATACACAATCATATATGTATACATGTGAGAATGTAAAGTTAGGTGGTTGACAATACACGTGTATGATGAGATTACACTCGATGAAGTTCACTCAAAGTAGGTTAAAATAAATATTTTTTCACTCTAGGTCATGTTCGTTTACATGGATTGGAGTAATTTGGATTAGATTGTAGAGTTGAAGGCATTTCGCTCCGCAAATTTAGGGTTGTTTTGCACTTTGTCCCCAAATAGAGAAAAAAAAAATCGACGGACATATCTCAAGTTCATTATTTGATGAAATGATCGGAAAATTGACCATTTTTGGACAAAAAATCGTAAAACTTAATTGGCTGCGGGTTCCTTCATTAAAAAAAATAAAATAAAATTACATACATTGCAATATTGATTTATCGGCTAATGAATCTCAGACCATGTAAATTACCTTTAACATGTAAAAAGAAGTTGGGTTACTAAAAAAGTTTGGCTCATTTGCCTTATTTGAAGTTTCATTTTATACTTCAATAGTGTATTTCATTATTATGTTTCGCCAAAAAGTTGCTTTTTCATTTCTCTTTTTACCCTCATAATTAAATATTCTCATCTTCGAGCAAAGATACTAAAAGGCCATAGTAAGTAATAATAATGTCATATAATATGGATGCCTCCAATATTTAACATTTTCCACTCTATTTTTCATTCCTAGTTAAATCTTATGCAACTTTTTTCTTTAAAGACGGTAGTGACTGGTACTAAATTTTATTTAAAACGGTAAATAACACTTAATCTTCGTATAGTTTGAACTTTGTGCGCGTGACCCTTTTATAGTTTCAATATTAATACATGACTCCCTCTGTAGTTTGAATTTTGTGCACGTAACCCTCTTTTACTTTTAATATAAGCACATAAACCTAGTACAATATTCCACTTAATAGTAATCATGCTCATTTGAAAGATGATTTTTTTGAAAGTACAAAGAGATTATGTGTTTATATTAAAATACGACGAATTCATGTGCTATATTAAAATAGAAGGAGTCGTGTGCACAAAGTTCAAACCACAAAGGATAAGTGCTATATACTAACCCTTGTCAAATTTTGTGCAATTAATTAATTAACATTTATTTCTGCTATCTTTCTTAAAAATAAATTTCTGGAGGTGTATTAAGGATTTGTTAGAAGTGCTATAAAAATATTATGATTAAAATAAAATTTAAAAACGATAAATTACAATCACCCTAAGGGCTATATACGAAGAAAAATCCTCATTTTTAGATTTCTTACATTAACACCCTTTTGTAGGGGTGTAGTTGTAAGAAATTCTAAAATTTTAGGGGGTCGATATAATATCTCAAACAAAGGAGCTTTTTCGTAATTACAGTTTACCTGAGGGAGGTTGTTGTAATTTACTAAATTTAAAACAAACAGGAAATGAAATTCAAACAACGCCACGTGGAAAAGAGAAATTACTTTTTGTATGGGCAGGACAAAAGTTATGGATTTGTCTAGGGTGAGATACCCCATGTTCTAAACTTTTATGAGATATGCATTAATCACCATTAATTTTCTAAGATTAAATCTGGACCCTAGGAAAATAACATGGTGTGATTGAGTTTTATTTGATGAATAATCGAAAGATTAAATCTGGACCCTAGGAAAATAACATGGTGTGATTGAGTTTTATTTGATGAATAATCGAAAAAAACGCATTCATTGAAAATCGAACTTGTGACCTCTTAATAAATTTATCACTCCTAACCATCCAAGCACATTAACTTATTATGAAATATTTAACCATAATTGTATAAATACTGTTAATGCAAATATTAATTGCAACATTCAATATTATTAAATGGTATTAAATAAATTATTAACAAATTTAATGAAATAAAGTTTGAAAAATATAAAGAATTGCAGTACAATACGTCAAACATCTATCATTAATTATATAAAATTAGAAGTATTAATAAAATCCACAATTTAAAAATGTAAAGAATGCTCAATTAAATAAAAAAAATGCATGACTTAATTCAAACTCACTTATGTTATTAAATCGATAGTGTGGCAAATCCAAATAAAAAATAAAATAATATGTTTATTTAGAAGAAGAAAAAATTATAACTCATTCCAATTAGTAGTTTTCTTACTTTAAAATAAAATTATATACTACAAATACTATATTGTGAATTTTCTTTTAATATTTAATTTAATCAACTAGTAAGATTTGAATCGATGAAGTACAAACCATTTCAATTAGTAAACATTATTCAAATATTTGAATCGGTTGCTTAACTATTGACATAACATGTTACAAAATTGATTTAACTATTTATAAGTAATGTCTAATATCTTTTTAATTTAATTTTGTCATAAAAATAATAAATTTAATTCCTAACACATGTAAGAACCTAATCGTAAATCATAATATTTTATCAAAGCGTAATATTTGAACCAATTAAGCTCAAGTCCTTTCAATTCGTAAACATTATTCAAATATTTGAATCGATTCATTAGCGCGCTCAACTATTGACAATAACGTATTAATCGAGTTAACTATTTATAATTAAAGTCTACTATCCTTTTAATTCAATTTTAACAACAAAATAATAATTTAATTCGTAAAATCGTAAGAATCAGATTGTAAATCGTAAGATTTAATCTAACCATGAACCGATTAAATCTTACGATTTTTACCGATTAAATTTTATTATTTTTTATGATAAAATTCAATAAAAAAAGGTTACTAAACTTTAACTATACACAGATTGATTAATATGCTATTGTAAATTATTGAGTTTAACCGATTCAAATATTTGAATGTTGTCTACGAATTGAAATGAGTTGAGCTTAATCGATCAAGTCTTTGAATATTGTTTTTTAATTGAAAACACACGAGTTTAATTGATTCAAATATTACGATTTAATTAAATCTTACAATTTACGATTCAATTCAAACTTCAAATTCTTTCGAAATTAATTTTTAAATTACACGAGTTGAATAACATTTCCTTAGATTTTTAAATTATATTATATAAAGATTTGTTAGTAGGGGATATTTTTAATATATAATAATAATAATTATATGAGAATTAATAATTTATTTAACATTATTTATATAAGTTTTATAACCATTATAAACTGTAGCTTTGTGATATATATCCATATTGTTAGTTTATTGTCAATTATGTGTTGTGTCTTAATGGTAAGTATTCTTGTATGTTTTCAGATGGTCACAGGTTCGAATTCAGGTTGATGCAATTTTGGATGGGTGGTTTAATGATTTTTACGAATAATGATATAATTGACGTTATAAATTTTAATTCAGCAATAAATATATATTTAAAATTGATTAAAAATATAGAGGGTAAAATTGACATTACATTAATAATATATAATGGCCGATTTTTTGAAAATATTAATTATACGAAGGGTATTTACGACAATACGTAAATGAGGAAAAATTGGATTTTTGGGCAGGGACACGTGGACAATACGTAAATGAGGAAAAATTGGATTTTTGGGCAGGGACACGTGGCGCAATATAAATGGGGTATCTCATAAAAGTTTAGAACATGGGATCTCACCCTAGAAAGACCCAAAAGTTATATATAATCTTGCTCCCTGCTCTATAAAAAGCGCGTCGCAATTAACTCTCATACAGTTGTTCACGCGCACACAACAATGGCGAAACGATTCAAGCTTCGAATTTGCAGAGCCATCACCGCCACCTGGCAGTCTTGCCGATCCAAAGACCCATCCATTCTCCCGGAAGATCCTGCCCTTTCATTCTCTAGACTCAACGCCGATGACCAGGACCGCCGCCGTGGCGGCCACCGCCGTCAATCCTTCAAGCACCACGCTTCCTCCGCCTTCATATCCATCGGCGCCGCCTGTGGCTTGCAACAAACCTCCGACGAAGAATTCAAGTGGCAGAAGGAAGAGAAATGGCACGTCGTCGCCAAGATGTATGAACAGCCGCCCACTCATCGCCGGAAAATTTGCAACTCCTCAGCCTCTGAAGACGACCTGCCGTTTCTGCCGCCGGCTCCGCCGCCTTCCTCGGCTGAGGAAAACTACTGCCGCGGGAAAAGGAAGAACAAAAAGAAGAAGAAAAATAAGTACCGTAACGTCCCGAGCAGGCTTCGCACGAGCACCTCATCGGCGGAGAGCGGGTGGTTCAGCAGCGACGGCGGTGCCGCCTCCGCCGCCGCCGCTGCCGGAGAAGAACATTACAGGGAGGAGACAGGGACACTGGTTTCCTCCGCCCCGAGCTTATCAACAACCGACACTACTTCCTCCAATTCCCACAAGATCAAAAACAAGAGACGAGTGATCTCCTCCAAGCGCCGCGGCGTCGTGAGCTGGCCGCCGCCGCTGCCGTCGGAGGAGGTGGAGATTCCGGCGAGGCTGTCGATGCTAAAGAAGTTGATACCTTGCGCGATCGACGGAAAAGTGAAGGAGAGTTTCGCGGTGGTGAAGAGGTCGGAGAATCCGTACGAGGATTTCAAGAATTCGATGATGGATATGATTACGGAGAAACAGATGTTCGACCACAGAGATTTGGAACAGCTGTTGCAGTGCTTTCTGTCCTTGAATTCCGGCAACTACCACGGGATAATCGTCCAGGTTTTTTCCGACATTTGGAATGACATTTTCTCGCCGGCGGCCGGTCTCAACTTCCCTCAGCATCGCCGCCGGCGTGTTTCCAGAATAGCTTCCTTTTAGTTTTCTTTAAGATTTTAGCTTAATTACGATCTTGATCCAACTTCTAAGTACGTATTTGCATATTAATGGTGTATTATTATTTATTAATTAGTATGTTATTAATGAAGCAAAAATCAGTGGTTCCATGCACTGTACGAAAATGTATGAGTTAACTCGTGCCCCTAAACTAGTTGGGCAAAGTTAGACATATGAGTTAACTCAAGTCATATATTAATGGAATTAAATTCTAAACGGACTCCCCATTATTTTGAGAAAAGCAGACCCCATTCAGGGCTTGACACGTGGAATATTAACTTATTTAAAAATTAACTAATTAATCAATTACGTGGCTAATCTAGGTTAGGACTCCTTTGAATACTAAACGGCATAAGAGAGCAAAATAAAAAAAGAGGAGCAAAGACGACCAGGGCTCCTTCGACCCTACACCCGGTGATAAACATCGGGTGGGTCTTCTGCTGCCATGTGTCCCCTTTTTTATTTTTCTAAAATCTCTAAAGCTAAACCCTAGCGGGGAATATATTATAAAATAAAAAAAAAGACATGTGGCAGCAGAAGACTAGGGTTGTTCATGGGTCGGGTCGGTTGATTATCGGCCGATTATCGGCCCGACCCGACCAACCGACTCTTACAAATATGTAAAACCATTATCGGCCCGACTATTGTGAGTCGGGTAATGGTTGGCAACCGACTTTGTCGGTTGCCAAAACGGGTCGGTTGAAATTATCGGCCAATATCGGCCACATATTAATTAAAATAAAAAATAAAAAAATTATGCTATTCCTCTATCAAAATTCAGCAACAAACATTCCAATATTTCATGCCCAAAATCAAATTTCAACAATATCACATATTAAAAATTAAATTTCCAAAAACAATATAAAATACTAAAACGAATCACTTTCAGCCATTCACACTTTCACATCACAAAATTCTGAAACTTTTAATTTTAATTTGAGAAACACAAAAATTCGTACCTTAGAATTTAGAAAGAACTAGAAACTGCTAGAGGTAAATCTTTGGAGAAAGCAACGTCGTGTCGGCGGCGATGGGCTGATAGAGAGAGAAGAGAGATATATCGGCGACTAGAGAGAGAGACAATAGTCGAAGATAAGGCGAAAATGAAGAGTATAGTTTTTTTAGTTGTGTATTTTTATTCATTTCACCGAGAGGTCAAAAATTAAATATTGAAACTAATATCGGTTGGTCGGGTAATATCGGTTGGTCGGGTAATATTAAAAACATAAAGAGAAAAAAAAAATTAAAAAAAAAAAAAAAGAGTCGGTTGGTCGGGTAATATCGGCCAACCGACTTTTCAAAAAACTAGAAACTATACCCGACCCAACCATGTATGGGTCGGTTAAAATTATCGGCCCGACCAAAACGAGTCGGTTGGTGGGCAATTATCGGCCAAAATAGTCGGGCAGATAATGGGTCGGTTGTCGGGTAAAACCGACCCATGAACAACCCTACAGAAGACCCACCCGGTGTTTATCACCAGGTGTAGGGTCGAACAAATCAGACGACCAGGAACAGAAGCAAACGAGAACAACGATCACGAAGGAACGCTGCTTCATCGATTTCAGAAGAAAAGACGGACAAAATATTTATCAACACATAGAAACATCATATTCAATTTTCTTTAAGGTATGTTCTATAATAATCTTTTTGGGGAATTATATGTGTTTGTTTAAATCTTTGATTAAAATATTCAATGAAATTTTGAACTATTTGGAGTTCAATACTCTATCCGGAACAGAGATACATTATACATTAGTTTAAAAGTTTTATTTTTTTATTTTATTTTGACATGCTTCAAATTTGTGTGCGAATATTTTTTTTTTTGCTCAAATATAAATATATATTGATCAAAAAAGCAAAATATTATTAACAACGCAAATGATTGTTTCAGTAAATGAGGGTTTCAAAGAAAATTATTTTATTAGATTTTTAGCAAAATACATTCAGTATTTTAATTCATAGTAAAGAAGAAAAAAAAGTTAAATGAAAAATACAGTAAAACTAAAGGAGAAAAATTACAGTGGTGGTTTAGTAGCATAGGAGAAGATGGGATGTTTGTGGCAAAAGAAAAAAAAATAGTTGGATTTATCTTATCCATCACACGTATTCAACCATGATTTAGGAGTTTCCTTGCTTTTAAAAGTGGTCCCACAAAAGAAAGAATAATAAACCAATATTTCATTAATATTTTCCACATGGCAAGTTGTAATTGGTGTCTGTTTTTTGGGCATAAATGGGGAGTCCGTTACAAATTTGCTCCCTATATTAATTAGTATTCACCCGGTCGATAAACTGACTGAAGCGAACCCAACGCAACGAAAATTCATTACCGGACAGGTAATTCGATTCGATATTCAGTTTATATATATGAAATATTAGCAGTTAACTAAAATAATTAAAAGACTAAAAAAACAAATTTGAAATAATTTTAATAAAATTTCGATAACGGGGTTATTTATCGAACCGGACGATAAATGGTATGAACAAAAATTACTTTATCGAAATTTCAATATGATTTTACCGAACCGACAACTTTAAATTTACCAACCAATATTGTTTATTCATAAGACAATACATATTTGAAGAATGTCTCTATTTAGACATATATATATATATATTTTTATATATATATATATATATATATATATATATATATATATATTTATATATATATATATATATATATATATATATATATATATATATATATATATATATATATATATATATATATATATATATATATATATATATATATATATGTTGCTAACAAAGGGGAGAATAATTAATTGTGCAACATAGAATAAGAATTTAGTGTCAAAATCATTTGACTTTGATTTCTCATTAGAAAAAGCAAAAAATTGAACAGCCTTTACAGTGTATCTGATGAGCCGGAAATCAGGAGACAGTCACCTACTATAAGTGTCATCAACTAATACCACCTTATGTATGTAAACATTCAAAATTAATTAATTTTAGGATAAATTACAGAAACCCCCCTCAACTAAGTTCAAATCGCCAAAAAACCCCTAACGTTTTCATAATTAACGAACGGTTGACTAGAGTTCTTAACAGAAAAATGTTACCCACCAAAATTCTTGCACCAAAGCAAAGTTTGCTTATTGAAATCATAATATATACGAAAGTGACAGTTAGGAAAACATTGAAGAAAATAAAAAAAATACATATTTATTTATAAGGCAAATATTTATATTTTCCATTTTCTAGAGGAATTTTATTTTATTTTACATATATAAATATATATTATATAGTGGGAATGGCAGAGGTAAAGACTAAAGTGTAATATGCCTATAGATTCTGCAACACCTTCTCTTGGTTTACGTATAACCCACTCAATTAACTTACAAAATGGACTCTGATTGGTTATCAGCATTTCTACATTTGGAAATGATTTAACCACTGTCCCATTTTCACGCTATCATAGATTCTTTACCTCTTTTAACCCACCCCACTTTTTTTTTTTTTTTTTGATAATTCACCCCACTTTATATTATTAGACACAGACACATGTAGATCAGTCAAATTGTAGGGGTCAATTTGATACAAAGTATATAATTCAAGGGGCAAAGTGAATTATTGTAACTATGTGTATATACTATATACCGGTCGTCTAAAAATCGGTCGAGGTGGCCCATTAATTGGTCTCCAAGGCGAAGACGGTCTAAAAATTTTATGATTTTGATATAAAGGTTTGAAAAATCAATTTTTACTTTTAAGACGACTTTAATCGGTATGAGACGGTCAAAATTTGGTGGCAAAAATCGAACTTATTGAATAAAAAAAATAGAGCTTTTAATGAGAAATGAGTTTATGTTTTGTTTTATTTTGATTATGTTAATTTTTATTTTTAAAGTACCGAATGGTATATGCTTACAATGTTCAAGCATAATTTTGGTTGCACAAGATTTTCTCCAAGATTTTTGTTTTATTTTTATTTTGTCATACAAAATAATTATATTATGATCTTATTATTATTAAAATGTTACAAATGCGGATAAAATCATGTTTAAAAATCTTTTATATATGTTTTGGGTATTTACAAATAATATCTAAAATTATATTACATTTAATTTAAAAAATCGATTTATTTTCGATTTATCACCACCCTACCGATTAATAATAAAACGGTGACTCACCGCCTCTGACCCGATTCTCGTCTTTTACAACCTTGGTATAAACACTCATCAAAGAAACAAATATAGAATCCCACCATTCCCCATCTGCCATTATTAAACGGAATCTATGCCATTCTCGATCATAATCTGAATTTTCACCAATCTCAACGGCTGATTGATTGGTGTTCTGATCGTGTGGTCATAAATCAACCGTTTTTTGTACATCGTGGTTTGGGCAAATAGTTTCAGTACTTTTCTTTTAGAGGAAAACTGCGCATGCAATCTGTGCCAAGATTGGATAAGACTTCTCCAATCCGATTAAATCAATAATAATAATAATAATAATAATAATAATAATAATAATAATAATAATAATAATAATAATAATAATAATAATAATAATAATTATTATCATTTTTCTTTTTCTTTTTGCAATTTTCTTCATGTATTCTCTTTGCCAACCAAATAAATAAAATTCATAATTCATAATTTATAAGTTTGAGAAGTTTCAATAATTATCTAAAGTCATATTTATCTAAAGTCATAATTCATGTATTAATATACATTATTCCAACTGAAAAACATAAATAAAATACTCCATTATTTATCGATAATTTCTCTACCCCGACTCCATATACTTCTAATTAATTAGTTTCAAACTCGCGGCCACGATAAAAAGTTCTTCGGTTTTTCCTTAGCATTGTACTTGTTTACGTAAGTTAGTTACATTTTCTAGTTCGTAATGCTAAGGAGTTGTAACGATTAATTTTTTTCCTGAACTCCTGGACAAAACATAAATTCATGGTTTCGCCCCTTAGAACAAGATATAACTAGCTAACTCATTTA